TTTCCATTCGTTGATGGATATCTATATCTATCTATCTATCTATCTATCTATCTATCTATCTATCTATCTATCTATCTATCTATCTATCTATCTATCTATCTATCTATCTATCTATCTATCTATCTATCTATCTATCTATCTATCTATCTATCTATCTATCTATCTATCTATCTATCTATCTATCTATCTATCTATCTATCTATCTATCTATCTATCTATCTATCTATCTATCTATCTATCTATCTATCTATCTATCTATCTATCTATCTATCTATCTATCTATCTATCTATCTATCTATCTATCTATCTATCTATCTATCTATCTATCTATCTATCTATCTATCTATCTATCTATCTATCTATCTATCTATCTATCTATCTATCTATCTATCTATCTATCTATCTATCTATCTATCTATCTATCTATCTATCTATCTATCTATCTATCTATCTATCTATCTATCTATCTATCTATCTATCTATCTATCTATCTATCTATCTATCTATCTATCTATCTATCTATCTATCTATCTATCTATCTATCTATCTATCTATCTATCTATCTATCTATCTATCTATCTATCTATCTATCTATCTATCTATCTATCTATCTATCTATCTATCTATCTATCTATCTATCTATCTATCTATCTATCTATCTATCTATCTATCTATCTATCTATCTATCTATCTATCTATCTATCTATCTATCTATCTATCTATCTATCTATCTATCTATCTATCTATCTATCTATCTATCTATCTATCTATCTATCTATCTATCTATCTATCTATCTATCTATCTATCTATCTATCTATCTATCTATCTATCTATCTATCTATCTATCTATCTATCTATCTATCTATCTATCTATCTATCTATCTATCTATCTATCTATCTATCTATCTATCTATCTATCTATCTATCTATCTATCTATCTATCTATCTATCTATCTATCTATCTATCTATCTATCTATCTATCTATCTATCTATCTATCTATCTATCTATCTATCTATCTATCTATCTATCTATCTATCTATCTATCTATCTATCTATCTATCTATCTATCTATCTATCTATCTATCTATCTATCTATCTATCTATCTATCTATCTATCTATCTATCTATCTATCTATCTATCTATCTATCTATCTATCTATCTATCTATCTATCTATCTATCTATCTATCTATCTATCTATCTATCTATCTATCTATCTATCTATCTATCTATCTATCTATCTATCTATCTATCTATCTATCTATCTATCTATCTATCTATCTATCTATCTATCTATCTATCTATCTATCTATCTATCTATCTATCTATCTATCTATCTATCTATCTATCTATCTATCTATCTATCTATCTATCTATCTATCTATCTATCTATCTATATATATATATATATATATATATATATATATATATATATATAAACTAGGTGTTTTAAATATTTTTTTAGGGGATGGGATCGTTAAACGTATGCCGAACCCTCTTCCTTTATCTGGACTTGAGACCGGCAGTAGTCTGAAAAAGGCATTAGGCGAAGATGATGAACTAGCTTTTCTATCATATGTACAACAACAAATGCAGGAGAATTTAATCAATAGTAACATCAACCTCAAAAGTTGTATGTCTCAATATACACAAAGGGAAAAGTAAGATTCTTTGATACAACACAACATGCACTAATCAAATCACATGTGACGGAGAAGATTTGGAGCATGTAAAAACATTTACATATTTGGACAGCATCATTCATAAGAACAGTGGATCTGATGTACATGTGAAGGCACGAATAGACAAAGAAAGGAAAACATTTCTACACTTGAAGAACATATGGAACTAAAAACAACTGTCAATCAACACCAAAGTCAAAATTTTCAATACAAATGTCAAGACAGTTCTACTGTATGGAGCAAAAACTTGGACAACTACGAAAGTCATCATCCAGAAGATACAAGTGTTTTTTAGCAGACAATATCAGCAACAACCTATTGTGGGAGAGATCAATATAGCAACTCAAGTGCAATTGAGTTTGATCAGATGTAATTCGGTTAAGCCCTTTTGTTAACTTATTTAGCGGACCGAGTCATCCGTACTATAACAACTTATTGTACCTTTATTATTGTTGTGCTTGTATGAAATATGTATGCTTGAACATTGCTTACCGCCTACGCATATATTCATTCTGTGAGCTTTATTATTAGCTGCTTAATTGATTCGATGATTCGTTCATTTCCCTATATATAACGAAGCACAGCCACTACAACAAACCAGATTCCAGAGGAGGAAGTGGATAGGACACACATTGAGGAAAGCACCCGACTGCGTCACAAGGCAAGCACTCACATGGAATCCACCAAGGCCAAAGGACACATTACGTCAAGAAATGGAGATAGACATGAAAAAAATGAACAAAAATAGGATAGGAATGGAAAGGAAGGACCAAAACACAGTGGAGAGTGAAGAATGCTGGTCGGTGGCTTATTCTCCATTGGGAGTAACAGGCGTAAGTAAAGTAAGTAAGAACTAGATGTTGAATCAACTAGCTGGGGAACACATACATGTAGAGTATAACTAAGTTCCTATCATTTCGAAAGGCATGAAGATACGCAGCATAAGAGAAAATCCTAGGAGAGATTCATTCACTTTCTTTACTTTTTCTTACTTTCAATTTTTTTTTCCCGTTACATCGTTGCGGTTGCATGTTTCGTCTAAGCTCAGGAAGAGAATTGTAATAATGGTAATAGTTATCAAACCAAAACAATTATCTTACATCCAAGCTCAATAAACCAGATATAGGAAACTATCTCATAGGTCAATGTGATCAACTTTTAACTATTAATCCATCAGTTTAAACCTCTTCCCATAGTACTTAAGTTTGAGTATATGGATAAGAACCACTTAGCTCATGTATGTACAATGCGAGACTTGGAGCCACCAAGTATTTATACATACACTTCAATAATAAGTTTTTATTATTTGTTTATTTATTTTAACACATAGGTATTGGTACAAAGACGGACCAAATACATATGCGCCACACAAATCTCAATTGATTTGTGTGAGGGCTGTGATACTGCTCGGGTGCCCAAACCGAAGCAGGTGGTTTTCTTAGGGGACCACATCCCAAGCCTTCGACCTGAATGTCTGACCCACAAGGCAGTGGGGCATCATGAGGAGATGGAGTCCCATGGTAGCCGGTGACCAACGATTGGTTCATACGTCATTTGTTCCTTCAGGATACTGGAGCCAGCTCATGTGCACCATTGGTTTGGGATCCGGTTAAAGCGCCGGACATTCCCTTTTCGTCCTCTCATTTTCGTAAACAACACCCCCGCCACGAGAATGCAGTGAGTAGGACTTCCCTGGCAGAGGCTATATACGCATATGGCCATGTGAGAGTATTTCGAGAGGGAGAGCGGACTCTCCCCACTTTCGGCCAAACCAGGGTATTTGGGGGCCAATAATATGTTTATATTTAAATTAATCATTTCGAATTACTTAGCACATCCATTAGTCAAAAGTAATGTTCCCAGAGAAAGTTACTAAATATGGAGATATAAAATTTGGAACATTATTAAGTCTCTTAGTTACGGTACAAGATATGTGTTAAATGACTTCCTGTATTAATGTTATACAGATCCTTACATGCATTGTAGAGTTATTCAAATGATATTTCATAGACAAATGAATATAACACTAGTTCTAAGAATGTCTAATAATAACTACACATCAATTTTCATTCTCTCAAATACACGATAATCATTTACTTTGTTGAACAAAATTGATATGTATACAAAAGTATGTTCAACTTCGACTAGATTAATCAAACTTTGTGTAATTAAGAATGTGGATTGTCAATTAGTTAGATGAAATTGAACTAAATGATATAATTCACTTATGTATTGGTTGTTTGAATCTTCCCATTGAGATTTAGGACTGTAATTGATCAATCTCTTGTTGGTATATATCCATTCTGAAAGGATTACCTTAATATACTTTACCCTATTGCACAAGCTAGTGGCTATCAGATGTCAGTAGATAAAAGTCAATAATGAATTGGAGTTTCAAGAGAACGGTACCAGATTTGAGTCTTAGAGTGAACACCAACTCTGAGATATAGATATATCCAGCTAACAGGTCACAAATAGAATAAAACGGTTATCTTAGATTTCTCTGCTAGTAACCATTCATCTCTGATTAAATTAGAAGATTTCTTCAATGATACATCAGTCGTGTGTTGTTACAGGTATAAAGGATGATGTCACTTCCCGGCTGCCCACACCGTGGAAGGGCATTTCTTGAGGAACCTGAAAATAAAATCGGATTAGTGTTGGTTTTAAAGACCTGAGAGCGTGACAGCAGAGCCCAAGGGATAACTGCTTGATGACGGTTGCGCAAGGCCTCTTCGTGGGAGGTTTTTAATGTGTTAGCACCATTCTTTAAAGGGCCTTAACACCGCGGACGGAGATCCGTGAGGTAAGGTGAGGTGTGACATTTTTAGGATCAGCCTTTTCTAACCCCTTCCTTCCTTGTGAGAAGGCAGAATCGCTGCAGATACTAGTTGTCCGATGGAAACATCCCTCTATAGTCAGCAGTACGACTTCGCCCTCAGACCTTGAGTTGCTGCTTTTAGTCCTACCGTTCTCCAATCGACCTACCTGGCATGGTAGAACCTATAGGAACATATGTTCCAGCCAATATAGCTCGGTTGGATTATCACAAATGGCAAGCCCGACCATCGCGTCAAGGTAGCAGCTACGGTCAGGACAATGATACATAATCTTTAGAATATCAGTTCAGTTGACTTTACACACAATATACTACAGAAGAATGTCGCAATTTGCTTAAATAAGATAAACTTTGTTCAATATACAGTAAAATTAATACAAAATATTAACATGTAACTACTTACATAAAAAAACAACAACAACAACAACATTATCATCATCAACCAATGATTCAGTAAACCAACTCTAATAACAAGAATCAATTCTTAAATGTTCGAGATTGTAAAACAGAAGATGATGATAATGAACGTTGAAATAAAGTATTACTATTAGTTAATGAAGTACCATCATTGTTTAATTGATACATACCAATTGATGGATTTTGTAAAATCATTCGTTGTTGGTGGTGGTGATGATGAGGAGGATGATAAGGATGATTTTGTGTAAGATGTTCAAGAACCGATGGTTGTGATAAAGAGAAACGTTGTTGATCGGTGATATTAGATGAATTGGTTATGTTGGGTGATGGAGTATGATGACGTATAGAACCATTTAAATTGTTATTATTATTATTATTATTATTATTATTATTATTATTATTATTATTATTATTATTATTATTATTAGTCAATTGACTTTTAACTTGTACACAAGAACCCATATGAAAAGGCCAATGTTTCGACTGACAATTACTATTGCAATACGATGTATTCCAACAACAATAATAATAAGCTATACGTCCACAATATGCACACTATAAAATGTATTTAAACAAAGAAAACAAAATCGAGTCAATTCAATTATATAAAATGAATGAATATGATTTTAAAATAAGTTAGGATACAACACATTAGATTATCTTCTCAAATCAGTCGAGAATGGGGAGAGTCAGCATTCCCTCGAGAAATGCTCTCAAGTGACCACGTGTATATAACCACTGCCAAAGAAGTCCTACTCACTGCCTTCTCACAGCATTACTGTTATTTATGAAATTGAGAGGACGAAAAATCAATGTTCGGCGCTCTAACCGGGGTGGTGGACACGGAGGAACCATCTATGGGAGTTGAAAAATCCTCATTTCAAACCAATGGTGCACATGGGCTCCAGGATTCTAAGGAAACAAATAGCATATGAACCAATTGTTGGTCACCTGCTACCATCGGATTACACCTCACGTTGCTTCAATGCTTTGTGGATTAGACCTATAGGTCAAAGGCTCCGGGTGTGGCCCATACCGTAGAAGGGTTCTTCTGGAGGTACCTGAAAAAATTGAGTTACAGGTGGTTTTAGTGACCTGAGAGTGTGACTACAATGCCCAATGGGACAACTGATTGAGGTTGATCACACACACAACCTTTTTGTGAGTAATTTTCATGTTACCTCCATGATTGTTGACACCTTACCACCAGAGATGAATATATTACATTGTAGCCACCTGACTAAGAGAAATGAGTTTTTATTTATTTGAGCAGATAGAGATTGGTATAAAAAGGCACCAAATACATATACGCCACAAAAATCTCATTTGATTTGTGCGAGGGCTGTGATACTGTCCAAGTGCCCAAACCGAAGCAGGTAGTTTTCTTAGAGGAACCACACCCCAAGCCTTCGACCTAAAGGCCTGATCCACAAGGTAGTGGGTCAACTTTAAGAGATCCAATCCCATGGCAACCAGTGGCCAATAATTGGTTCACGCGTCATTTTTTTCCTTTAGGATTCTGAAGTCCATGTGCACCATTGGTTTGGAATCAGGGTTTTCCAACTCCCCTAGGTGAACTCACCGTGTCCACCAAACCCGGTTAAAGCACCAGAAATTCGCTTTTCATTCTTTCAATTTCGTAAACAACACCCCTGCCAGTGAGTAAGACTCTCCTGGCAGAGGCTATATACGCTTGGCCATGTGAGAGTATTTCGAGAGGGTGAGCGAACTCTCGCCACTCTCGACCGTACCATGGCATTTGGGGGCAGAGAAATGAGTAGTTTTATGAAAGGTGATAAAGTAAAATATGTAATGAGCAGTGATGTATGAACAGTTCATTAGTATAAACCTTTTCAACTTGTTAGTAGATATATTGATGTTTTATTTATTATATACATTTTCTTTAAATTCTCAATACAAATGTACATATGTGAAAAGTAGCTTTGACTATAACAGTCAGCATCAAATTAATGATAAAAACATCATTTTCAACCATTAACTTATTGTAACAAAATGATTGTAAATAGATTTTATAGATCTATATACATAATTCTAGTAAAACAAAATTCGGTGAGACTATCATCTATGGACGACCTTTGAGAGACGCTAGATTGACCTTAGGAGTGTTCATCTAATAACTAGAACTAAATGAGGATTATAAACGAAAAATTCAAGTGGAATATGAAACGATGAAACATTTGAAATGCCTAACTTTTGTACTTTTCTAAAGATGTTTTAAAAAGCGAAAACAGAAACAAGATAAAGTGTCATAAATGGAGAGAATATTTAATATATGATTTTAATGATAATTTCAATTATACTGTGTAGTAGTTCGTCCTATTATATTTTATGGCTGCGAAATATGGCCATTAAGAGTAGAAGATACTCGTAAGCTACAACTATTCGATCACAAATGTCTTGGGAATACTGTTCGCATCTGCTGCGATCATCGGGTAAGTAAAAATGAGGTTAAACGTGTAGGGGTATTAGGGAATAATGGTAAATCAGTTGATGAGGTTGTGAATATTCATCGACTGAGATAGTTGGACCAGTGCTGACTACTGTTGAAGGTTGGAAGAAAGCTAAGGGCGGTTAAAATAAAACATGACATCAGTCCATAAAGTCACTAAATTCTAGTCTGAGCAATGTTGATAGATGCAGACTACTTGGTTGGGGTCCACCTGACTATCGTAACCAATGGTTGGAGACTCTGTGTGACATGACTGAGAATCGATCACAATGGCATAGGTGCATACACCCTTTGTCTTCCCTCAAACCGTGAGATTAAAATTACTTTATATCTTTCTTTCTGCGAACTAATTCTTTCTCTCTGTATCATATCCTTATATACAATCCCTATATATATATATATATATATATATATATATATATATATATATATATATATATATATATATATATATATATATATTACTACCATTGAAGTAATTGCTTTTATGGATTTCGTTGTCATCTTGTTGTACTAATGAGGTATGGCGACTTGAACCGATCCATATATGTGCCTAGTCCTACGTTATAGATGACTGACTGAAAGATGGGAAATCGGTTGAATATGTAGTAAATTTTTATCCACTGAGGTGGTCGGAACATATGTTACGTATGTTTAACCACTGTCTACCTAGATGAGCGATGTTTTCTGGTGAAGGAGTAGGCTGTAAGAAAGTTAGGGGAGGCAAAACTAAAACATGACATCAGTCCATAAAGTCAATGACAATTGGACTTAGTCATAAAAACACATTCAGACCACTTGGTTGGAGTCCGCATGATTATCGTAACCAATGGTTAGAGACTTTGAATGATATGTCTCAAAAACATTTGTAATGTTGCAGGAGAATCTGTTCTTTGCCTTCCCCGACATTCAAATTCCTTAAAACTTATGTTTTTATTTCACTAATTTATATTTTATTTTCGAATCATATCTTCGATGCCTAATTTTTCGCATTACCATTTCATTTTTCTGTGCTAACGGGGTAGGGTAATTGGACCGATGTACATACGTATCAGGCTCTACGTAACGACTGACTGACTGTTTATAATCACCAAAATGTCATTTTCTTATGGAACATTTTAGAAAATCAGTATTAAACAGTGATATATATGCTAGTTATATAACTTATATAATATACCCTTGTGGGCTAGGGAATTTTACATTGGTTTTCAGGAGAACCAGACTTTCACGTGACAACCCTAACAGTACATCTCCATCCCATTTAACAGGAGAACCAGACACTTCTCAGGCTTAAATTTTATAACCTGAGCAGTACAGATCAGTCCCGCTTCACAGGAGAACCAGACACCTTGTAGGTTTTAACGCTACAATCTGATTAGTACAGCTCAATCCTGTGGCGCAACCCTGGTGGATCATTCGCACCATTCATATATACATTCACATCACATGTATAGTTATTCCGATCAATGATCGCGTGAATCAATTTGGCACAGCACAAACAGGTCAAAGTTGACCTAATCCGCTTACATGATAGTCAAACTCATTAATGCTAGCAATGGCGACGTGCCTTACAATGTCCTTTGAGAACACTGAGAAGCAACCACCAGTATGAATGAAATCAGTTAACCTGCAAACCGATTTTGTGCATGAAAAGTCAGCAAAACTTGCCAAAGCATTGCTGAACCATCCCCAATAGCAATGGCGAACCTTCGTCCTCATATAAGACATTCAACTCCACATAGCCATATAGCTTATGCTGGATACAACACATATGTAGGGTAGTATGCGAAATAACTCAGCCTGAAGCGTTAGGGCTTAAATAATGCTTAAAACCCATTGTCTGGTGTCGGAATACTATAACTAGACAAGCAAGATCATTTATTTCTCATTTGCGAAATCTTCATTTTTCTGACTTTTCAGACCCTGAGTTAGTGGTAGTATCCCTGATATATATGCTAACTGACGTAATAATTAACAATACTTCAAGGATGAAAACAAATGAGATGGGTTATAATCAACAGTACCAGTATCATTGTTTACAATAACATGCCGACTGATATTAGATCATTAAATGAGATCACGAAAAATATCTATACACAGAATTTATTGATAGTTGGAACTGATCAAAAGCAGTGTCTCTGTATTCTTAAGGGGACTAGTGATCTGCATGAGATTTAGACTTGTAACTCATAATGTTCCAATAATGAGAGTTAGACAATAAGAGGGTTCCTATTGATAACCTTCAAAAAAGTACACTACAATATCAAATCACCGAAGAACTGTTGTTCGAAAATATCTCACCAGAACGAAATGTGAATGTTGAAGACATCAATGTCCAATCGAAAAGTATAAAATTTGTGAATATATATTTTCACTGGTTGAAATCATGAGTCAATTGAAGCTAGACCACCATGGGAAACCTGCAAGCACTGGACGGTCGTTTCGTCTTAGTATGGGACTCCTCAGCAGTGCGCATCCGAGACTCCGCACTCGGGATTCGGACCCAGGACCTATTGGTTTGACGCACGAACGCTTAACTTCTATACCACTGAGCTGGCATCCAACAGTGTTAATGTCTAACTTCAACTAATCCACAAAATTGAGCGACACATCCACCATTGTCATTAGTGAGTTGATATCTCACAACAGACCTGGTTGAACTCCACTGGTAACGGCTCAGTGATCTAGTTGGTTAAGCGCCTGGCGCGAGACTGATAGGTCCTGGGTTCGAATCTCGCGAGGAGCGGGATCGTGGATGCGCACTGCTGAGGAGTTCCGTTCTAGGACGAAACGGCCGTCTAGTGCTTCCAGATTTTCCATAATGGTCTAGCTTAAATGGACTCATGATTTCAACTAGTGAAATTTCTAAAAATCTCCACAAAATACCTTCTCGTAATATATATCTTCACAAATTTCAAAACAATCAATTACTGAATACAACTTACCCATTGACAACGTTTTACAACATCAACTATTCTTATAACATCATATTCCCATATTCTACTAGCAGCTTCCATAATAGCAATTAATTCATCATTCCATATTCTACGTAATTCACCTATACGACGTTGCATTTCTAATCCCATTTCAGCACGTGCATATCTAACTAATACATTTAAACGTTGAATTTCTTGTTCCATACGAAGAATTTCCGCTTCCATCATACGTTCTTGTAATGTCGGCGGTCTATAATCATTTAATATAGAAAGATCTGTAGATACTTCCATTATATCTGTTTGAACGGATTTTGATTCATTTATCACATTTAAAGTTTTCAATGATTTATTATCATCTAATAGATGAATATCATTATTAGTTTGTATTGCGACATCACAACAAATTGGATGTAAATTTGGTAGTTCTGAAGTAGTTAGTGGATGAACACCAGCTATAATAGATCAATATTTTTTTGGTGACAAAACAATCAAAAGTCAATAATTTATCAATGTATATTACAGGATCAAAATAACATGAAACGATCATTATGACAAAAATAAGCTATATGAATGATGATGTTAAATATGCTCATTTGATTTGTTATGATCTAATAGTGAAGAGTTCTCAGTATCTACTTGCATAGTGGTTGTTTTATATACACTAATTGAAGTTAGACATATAAACATTGTTGGATGCTGGTTGACTCAGTGGTCTATTCACGTGCCAGACTGATAAGTCCTGAGTTTGAATCTCATGAGACGGGATTGTGGATGTACACTGCTGAGAAGTCCCGTACTAAGACGAAACAGCTGTCCAGTGCTTTAAGGTTTTCTATATGATGGTCTAGCTTCAATTGACTCATGAATTCAACTAATAAATTAATTAAAATATGTTGACAAGTTTCAAGAAAATTAGATTATCATTTTATACATATGAAAGACTCCTTATCATGTAAGGTTGTAAAATTGGCACTTATTTATATAGTACCATATATAAAGGATGAATAGCAACTGGAAATAATTGCTCAGGACAGGGTTGGATGGAGAGTACTGGTAGGCGGTATATGTTCCTCCACGAGTAACAGGGGTTCATAATAAAATAAATGCATTTTGTTTTGTTTTTTAAAAATCTCGATGATGATTAACAAATAACAATTCACTGTAGTTAGAAATCTAAATCTTCCTCGAGTTACATCACTAGTCGGTTGCCAATAACACTGAATGTATATTATTCTGAAGACTCCTCTGTTAGAATAGAGTGAATAATGAGAAAGTAGATAATTTTAAAACTATTTCAAGAAGAGGAACGCAGCAGAACCCGACAATAGACCAGCTGAAGCACTGAACTCAGATATCGAATAACTACAAACATGCTTCAACTTCTACTCAAGAAGATTTGGGTGGAGGAACAAGTGCCGATGGACTGAAGAGAAGGACACCTCATCAAAATTCCAAAGAAAGGAGATCTGAGCAAATGTGAAAACTACAGAGGCATCACACTGTAGTGAACACAACACCAGTGGTGAACAATCGAATGTATTTGACAATAAATTACAGAACTTGTTAATAAAATCTAACAATCATATAGTAAATGGTCGATTTGAAAAATGTCTATCAGTTGTCTCAAAATCACTCAGACTTCATTGTTCTTTCATTTTCATACAAATTACATTCTGTCTTCATTCTTTACTGTTCGATCTTCTTGTCTCTCTGCTGTCAGACATTCTGTTAACGACTAACATCATATACTACTTATGTCTACATAAGTAGCACACACCACAACAATGCTGTCAGTACCAGGAAAAGTCTTTAACAGAGTGTTGCTGAACCGGACGAAAGACGCAGTAGACACCCAACTTCGAGATCAATAGGCCGGATTCCGTAAGGATCGATCGTGTACAGACCGAATTGCGACACTACGGATTATTGTCGAACAACCAGTTGAGTGGAACTCGTCAATATCCATCAACTTCATTGATTATGAAAAGGCATTTGACAGTGTAGATAGGAGAACGTTATGGAAAATTCTTCGACACTATGGAGTTCCTGAGAAGATTGTCAATATTATCTGGAACTCATACGACGGACTACAGTGCAGAGTCGTGCATGGAGGACAGCTGACAGATGCATTCCAAGTAGAGACCGGAGTCAGACAAAGCTGTCTACTCTCTCCCTTCCTGTTTCTTCTGGTGGTCGACTGGATTATGAAGACCTTGACAACTGAGAAAAACACGGCACACAATAGACCACTCAGAACCAATTAGACGATATAGACTTCGCAGATGACCTAGCCCTCCTATCGCATACAAACAAACAAATGCAGATAAAGACAGCCAGTGTAACAGCAGTCTCTGCATCTGAGGGCCTCAACATACAAAGGGAAAACCATGGTCCTCAAATACAACACGGAGAACAGCAATCCAATCATTCTTGGTGGTGAAACTCTGGAAGATGTGGAATCCTTCACATACCTGGGAAGCATCGTCGATAAACGAGGAGGTTCAGATGCAGACGTAAAGGCGAGGATTGGCAAAGCAAGGAAAGCATTCCTTCAATTAAAGAACATATGGAACTCAAAACAACTTTCAACCAATATCAAAGTCAGAATCTTCAATACTGTACGGAGCTGAAACTTGGAGAACTACTACAACCATCATCAATAAGGTACAAGTATTTATAAATAGTTGTCTACGCAAGATACTCAACATCCATTGGGCGGATACCATCAGGAACAGTCTTCTGTGAGAGAGGACAAACCAGCTTCCAGCTGTGTTACAATTGACTACCATGCTAGAAGAATGTTTCATGATGAACCAATAGAAGTAAGGATATTAGCGATAGTTCCACAAGGTTAATGATTGTCGGTCAAGTCGTGTCATCGGTTAAAGTAAATTTTGATGGTCTATGATAAAAAAAAGCAGTTGTAAGCAGTTGATGAGAATCCAAGTAATCAATAAACTTATATCATACTGTTACGTTAGTTCTCATTTTATTCAGATTTTTAAATCCAAAAGATTGTATAAATAGCACACGGATGTTCGATAATTAAGCTCAGTCTAATCAATGATAAACATAATGTTAACAGAAATTAAGCAGTTATCGTCGTTATTCAGCGTTGTCTGTTGAGAAATGATAAAGTTAGGAATAAGGTACCTGATAAATGTGGAAAATCGGTTAGTGGGGTATATTAAACATTCATCAACTATAGTTGCTAGGACGTCTACCTCGACAAACTGATGCTTGCTAGTGGAGAAGATTAAATGAAAGCTAGGGGTGGCTAAACTAAGATTCGATATCAGTTCATGAAATCAATGACTCTTTAGCGATGTTCTTGGATACATACCGATTCATTGAGATTTGATAAATTATCTTAAAAAAATAGATAGAGACTTTAGGTGACATTGGCTCAGAATCGTTTACAAGGAGGCAGATGAATTCACTCACATAGTACAAAAGTGTATGAATCAAAAGTTCCCAACTTATATTAACATAGTGACGTGAAATTAACACAATGAATTTTAAACAACACAAATTAACAATAGTGGCTATAACTAAAACAAAACTAACTATGGAGAAAAGAATGTACAAAAATGAATGAATAAAAGAACTTAAAGGAAAGTACATATTAAATAATACTCAAACGGAAAGAAACTAGATGAAGAAAAACAATGAATACTACTGTGATTACTTCTGAATCATATTGCCTAAGATCTCCAACCATTGATCATGGTAACTGTTGGATGACATGGGGATCGAGTCCGTCAGGGAGCACCAGTTCCCTCAAGATTACAGACACACCTTGCTGACGAGTGCAAATAGCACAAAACCCGGTTCCAGGGCTTCCTATCGACTACCTCCAACCACCATCTAAACTGTTGGAATCCAAATCAAGTAGTCTGTATATAACATGAGTCTGTAATGTCGGTTACTATGTTAAGCCCATGTATGAGCGCTTGTGTGTACATTGATTTTCTTACTCATCACATGCCTGTAACTTATTTTCGTCCGGCTCTAAATATCAATTAACGCTTGATTAAATTGAGTTGGTTTACATGCCTTCTCCACTGTACGTCATTTTGTTTCACCCTCTCTTCTTCACTTATTTAGCTACATCTCTCCGATTGTCTGTCCCAATCACCGATTGTTACAAAATACACTTATTCGAAATCCATCCTCGTATTTAACGTATTTAATTTGGTTATTCACAAATTCAAATTAAGTCGATCATTTTATACAAGGGTTGATGATATGTATATTTCAATAGCAATCAGAAACAATCCATTAATAGTCAGATTTCGGGTCACAAAATATCAATCGAACAGTCAATTATTTCATGAACCGACTACTTGGTTGGAGTCCAAGTGACTATTATAACCAATGATTGGAGACTCTAGGTGACATGACTCAGAATTGATCACAATGGAGTAGGTGTCTTCCTTTAAACTATGAGATTAAAATCGCTTCATACCTTTGTTTCTACGAACTAATTTTTTCTTCCTGTATTATATCTTTACATAAAATCTTTAAATTGGTAGAACAGGTTAACAGCAGAATAGATAGTACAACTTCTATTATTAAACGGAACGAGTACGTGAGTTCGAACTAAGAAACGAAAAGATTGTTGTTTTAGAATATATAAAAACATACAATCATATTAAGATACTTACCATTGTCTGTAGCATTTATTGTAGGAGCTAATTGTTCCTGTAATCTTTGTAAAGCATCATAAACAGAATTTCGAAAATCATCCAATATCATATGTACATTGTCTGATGTGTTTGAAGTAGAAGGTCTTTAGAAGTAAAAAAGAAAACCCAAAGAAACAAATACATGAAACTGAAGACTTAAACGTCTTGGAGAAATTTTGATTACATTGGTACAAAGCCTCAGAAGGCTTTTTTTTTGAGATAACCGTGATATAGATGACATGGCTATTTGTTAACCAAAAATAGAGTATAGTGATTAGTAATTTGCTGCGATCTACTTTACAGTTGTGAAATGTAGTAGAATACTAGTATTTGAACATGAGTGCCTTCTGATCATTGCTGGTGTATTTTGAGCAATGTTGAGATCCGATGATGTGGGATACTAAGAACAGTAAGTGGTTGACGACCTGTTAGTGAATTCTCATCGACTGAGGTGGTTGTAAAATGTATTACGTATGTCCAATTACCGTGCAATGATGATTGGTGTAGTAGTATTAGTAGTAGTAGATTGGAAGTTAGAGACGGCCTTACACTAAGATGTAACATCGGTTTATAAAGTCAGTAACTGATGGACAGAGCCATGTTGATTATGGTCCGCATGATTATCGTAAGCAAGACTTTGAGTGGTGTGTCTCAGAATCTGTCTCAATGGCCTAAAAGCATACACTGTATAACCTCTTAGATAATGAGTCCTAAAAATACTTTATACACTTTTTGATTTATTTATTCTACTTGAATCACATTGGCCATACTTAATCGCTTTTACAACAGCCAACACTGATACTACTCTGGTATTTGTCTGGATAATTTGATCACACTGTAGCGATTTAATGCGGTAGCTTGAACTGATGAACACATCCATCGGGCTCTAAGCTAACGGAATGACAAAATGAACTGGTTTGGTTTTGTCGCACCGAGTTTCCTCTCAAATTTTATCCACTCCAATAACCACGACATGTCAAGGTACATCGTGGTTCAGGATACATCAAAAATATACCATGACCACCTAAGAGACAAACATTTATAACCTCACAAATAAATTGGCCAAATTTGTCTAGTACTCTATATTTAACCTCAGGATTTGTCACTCGGTTATCCCATGATACGTAACCAATATTTCTAAGAAGTTCATGATCAAACACCTACAGAGTATTACTCACGCTTATCTCTGAATTTAAAGCTCATATGAAACGACTCTGTGCATTATTTGACTTACCCAATCAAACTGAAATCACAGTAGTAAAAAATATAACTTCTGGATAAATATGTAGATTAAGTTAGGTTATTGCATTAATACAACGTCAGGAAGAGAGAGGATATTAAGGAAATAGAAATCAATAATTGGTGGAAATTAAACAACTATAATAATAATGATGAATGAGTTGAAGAATAACGTGAGTTGATTGAACTTAGACATGTACACCATTTGATAGCAGCTCAGTGGTCTAGAGGCTAAGTGTCATCCGTGAGATTGATGATCTTGGGTTTGATAATCGGTTGCAATGTCGTATTTCGGTATTACTGAGTAGTTTCAGACTAGGACGAAACAGATGTTCAATGCCTCCAATTTTCCAATGGTTACGTAGCTAGGATCAGCTAGTGATCCACACTATGAAGAATCATAATACAATCCAAATCCATAACATATCTAGCGTCAAAATTGAGGCTAATAATATAAATGTTAGTTATTGGATAAGCAATTTTTAGTTATATCATTTAAAGTCTCCAACCATACACAATAGTATTATCTTGTAGATCATAACCAAAAAGTTTATACTTACCAAAGTCATTGACTTCATGATATTACGTCTCGATATAGCCGAATACTAGCTACTAATGTAACATCATAGTCAATGCATGAGTATAAACAACTTTAGTTGATGAACACCTCGAGTTGGCATCGAACGACTAATCAACTTAACCAAGTGCTTTACTACGCCTAAACTCACGACTTAATGAGAATTCTAGTAACCTATGAATAACACTTTCATGTTTATGAATCAAAATATTGTAAACTCAGTTGTAGTAGAAAGAAGAAAAAAAAGAATTAACACAAATACTTACATCATAATATCAGAGACAGATGGTATTTCATCTGTTGTTAATGAAACTATAGGTTCATATTCAATAGGTAATGAATTGTCTTTGATAACAACCGTATCGTCGTTGCTTTTATTATTATTATTATTACTATCATTATTATCTTTACTATTGGTCTCATCGTTATTATCTAAGTTGGTGACAATAGTTATAGTCTTCTTTTCAGATAATGGTTTTAAAGTAATCTTTTTCAAATGATGATGTTTACTTTTTTTATGTTTTTTCTTATTATAATCAATTGTATCATGAATATCTTCTGAACTAATACTTTCTAATTCCATAGTAACTGTTGATGAACAAGATGTATTATCATTATATTTACGTTTTATAGTATTTATACTAATTATTGGTAAACATGAAGTTTGTAATACTGTTGATGATTCTGATGTAATAATTGGTGAATTACGTAGACTAGCAGCAACACGTGTTAAAACTGGTTCACGATAAGTATCATTTGATGAATGTATACAATTTGATTTTATTGTATTATCTAATTTTTCATTATTTTTATTATTAACATTAGTTGAACTGATAGTATTGATACTATTAGAAGTTGTATTACAAATCACTTGTGTTGTATTATTTACAGTATGATTCATATCAATGATAGAATTTGTTTCTTTAATGAGATTTGTTATTGTTTCAGATACAGAAGAAGAAGTAGAAGGATTTTCAATGAATGGACTATGAAAAGAAAACAATTTGAATTAATATTAATAGGGGTTTTGTGGATATTATAGTTCAGATCATGAGTTAATTGAAGCTAGAACACCATAGAAAATCTACAAGCAATGATCAACGAAGTTCAATCACGTCTGCAATCTCGAGGTTAAGCGTTTGCGCGTTTAAATCCTGCAAGTGAGATCGTGAATGCGCACTGCTGAGGAGTCCCATAACAGAACGATACAGCCGTACAGTGCTTTCAGGTTTTCAATCGTAGTCTAACATCAATCGATTCATGATCTCAATCAAGAACGCTGGATAACTGTTTCATTTTAATTTTGACATTATTACTTATCAATTATTATTCATAACTTCATCAGTTATTGTAATCAAAAGTGTGATTAACGCTTTCGTAGAGCGTGTTACATATTGACCACTATTAACTAAATCATAACTCGATGATATATATACATATATAGTCATCCAGCTTATTCATTTACTAAACGATAGGTCGTATGTGACCAGCTTCAAACAGCTGTTTCTTTGATTGTAAAGTCACACACACATACACACTCCAAAATTGTCAACATTCAATTACCTTTCCTGAGGTACCATTATCGAGGAATGATTCTTTCATAGTGTATAAATCGATAGGTCAGACAGTCAGTAACAACGTAGAACTTCTTAAGTACGTACGTACGTACATCAGTTCGAGTTGTTATACCACATTAGCACACAAATACAATTGTCGTATCAAATCCCTTTGAAATTCATTGACAAACACATGATGGAGATGAAACCAAAAGCGAAGATACCCACAGTCCCGAAGAAAGTACTATTCATAAAATTACAATACATAAATGATACTACTGAAGAGATCGTGACTCAGAAACTAAGAGCTGTTCAAAAAACATTTAATGCAGTCAAACTGAATACTATCTTCTATAACTACACCAAAATAAGAACGACTAGCAAAGACAGACTGCCTGAATTCGCCAAATCTATGTGTATCTACCAGTTCAACTGCTCCTGTGGAGCCAGTTATATAGAACGTACAATTCGGCAAGTTCGTCACCGCATTACAGAACATCATCCATCGTGGCTAAATAAAGGACAGGTAAAAGTTCTATTCTCGCTCATTTGGTTGACACAGGTCACCAAGTTGAATTGAATAAAGCTTTTAAGGTTATCTACCATATCCCATCAAATTTACCACATGGTTTACGAGTGTGCCTTTTACACATTGCGGAAGCCATCGCAATCCATGTTCACAAACCTGAGCTTTGCATTCAAAAGAAATTTGTTCAATCACTTTCGCTGCCTTGACCATCTGTATAATATTCCCTTTAACTGAACTATTTTCCATACTTGTAGCATTTGGTTTGTAGTTTTTAATTTTGATCTTTGTTGTTTGTTTTTTTTATTTTCCTTTTCTTTTTAAACTTTATAATATCTCAACATTCATCTCTTGATTCTTACGTAACTGATATTCTATTGACCAACCATTACAAATTCTGTTCCTTCTCTTTTTTCATATATTATACAACTTAGCAACTTCTTGATTTAATAATTACTTTGAATATTAATCATCTTCCTCCCAAAATACTAGATGTTAATTTAAATGTTATTATGTAATTATTATGTAATGTATCCACTCAATGAGTATTATATCATTATTGTATATATATATATATATATATATATATATATATATATATATGACAAGCCCTCATATGGAATCCTCAAGGTCGAAGGAGGAGAGGAAGACCAAAGAATACATTACGCCGGGAAATGGAGATAGATATGAGAAAAATGAACAAGAATTGGATGGAACTAGAAAAGAAGGCCCAGGACAGAGTGGGTTGGAGAATGCTGGTCGGCGGCCTATGCTCCATTGGGAGTAACAGGCGTAAGTAATATATATATATATATATATATTAGTGTAGAGCCATGATGTAAAACTAATTGAAAAGAAATTACTTCGCTCAATTCACTCCTTCTGTATTTATCAAATGTCCAAATGGAAAATTTCACTATATTAAATCTCATAGTGATAGAGGTAATAAAAAAATATAAACAGTAATCGGAAGTATTAGAATTTGAAAATGTTATTTAAAGAGTATAATCTAGTGAAATAAATTTTTGAAAGATACAAACAAGAAATGGATATGAACAATTCAAGAGATTCAAAATTTAAGAGAACACAAAGAATAGATGTATTTGTGTCATTACAAACAATTTTGAGCTATGTTACATTCAAATTGTCTTAATTATCAATGGCTATCATCTCATGAATCCCAAACCATATAGTCTACACCTAATAATATAACTCATTAATAAGAAATAAAAAACTAACTATAAACTCATTTATCATTAATGAATAATTAATCATAAATAATAAATAACTATTATATAATATGATCCAGACTTACATAGAGATGATGAAGAATTACACAAAAGTAGAAACTTATAAAAATTATAATAAAATCAAATTGTATATTAATATAACAAAATATGTTCAACGTGTTTAATTCCAAATTGTAATTCAGGTAGTAGTAGTAGTAGTAGTAGTAGTAGCAGTAGAAGTCGTAGTAGCAGTAATAATAATCTGATAAATTCACAGAATATATATATATATATATATATATATGCGCTTGATCAATGGTTAATTACTAAGGTCCGTGAACAATAACGGTAGTAGAATAACGTAGAAACAGATGTGTACACACACACACACACACCTACTTATATATATATATATATATATATATATATATATATATATATATATATATAACAGTTGCTATATATACACATATATATATATATATATGCGTTGTTCTTTGGTCTAACTAAAAAATAACACTCAATTTTCTATAGTTGCACATGTAGAAAAAAGGTAATCTGATATATATATATATATATATATATATATATATATATATATATATATTATTGGACCTTGAACACATTTCTTTGTCAGTAAAGTAAAACAAACTTATCAAAAGTATTGTTCCATATCTCTCTCTCTCTCTCACACACACACACACATACGCACACACTCACTCACTCTCTTTTTCACTTATCATACTTTTTGAAGAACTTTATTCATCAGAGTCATAATAAATGATTAGTCAATAATAGTTAGTTAGATAGGTAGGTAAGTAAGTAAGTAGGTCGGTAGGTAGGTAGGTAAAGTAGATAGTTGCATACATCAACATTGTAAGTGCATTATTAAACAATACCATTTTAGTGTAACAAATTTATTTAGATAGATAGATAGATGCATAAAAAATGGTATGATCACATTTTAAGAACAAGAATAATAATAATAATAGTAGTAGTACTAGTAGTAGTAGTAGTGGTGGTGGTGGTGGTAATGAAAGAAGATAAACAATAAGACAATATCAATCAGGTATTTCATGAACTAACTTTAAAGAAAATGAAAAAAAAAAACCAAAAGGTCATCATATATTTATAATGCTAAATAGATAAACAAAATGAAAATATTAATTGAATATTATATCTAAATGTCTATTGAATAATGAAGATAATGTTATAGTATAATATTGGTTTGGTTGATTTTTGTAATATTTACTTATTTAAATACACATGAGCCCTCAAATGCCCTGGTATGGCTGAGAGTGGGGTGGGCCCGACCTCTCTGTCCAAATGCTCTCACATGGCCACGAGTATACAGCCTCTACCAGGGAAGTCCTACTCACTGCATTCTCGTGGCTGGGGTGTTGTTTACGAAAATGAGAGAACGAAAAGCCAATGTCCGGCGCTTTAACCGGATCCCAAACCAATGGTGCATATGGGCTGGCTCCAGTATCCTGAAGAACAAATGGCGTATGAATCAATCGTTGGTCACCGGCTACCATGGGACCGCATCTCCTCATGATACTCCACTGCCTTGTGGATTAGACCTTTAGGTCGAAGGCTCGGGGTGTGGTCCCCTAAGAAAACCACCTGCTTCGGTCTGGGCACCCGAGCAGTATCACAGCCCACACACAAATAAAATGAAAATTTGTGTGGCGCATATATATTTGGTGCCGTCTTGTACCAATATTTATGTGTTCAAATAAATAAATAAACACATAAACATTGATACAAAAAAGGTACCAAGTACTCATGGTGTCCGGTGATGCCATTTGTTCCTTCCCAATACTGGAGCCCATATGTTTATTTATTTTTATTTTATTTTTAACACCTAGGCATTTGTACAAGGAGGCAACAAATACACATGCGCCACACGAATCTCAATTGATTTGTGTGACGGATGTGATACTGCTCGGGAGCCCATATGTACCATTGCCTTGAAACTAGGGGTTTCCAACACCCCTAAATGGACCCTACGTGTCCATCAACCCAGTTAAGGTATCAGATTTAAATTATTAAATCATGAATTTAATTTTGTAATGGGCTTGATTATCCTATTGTTGATATTTTGATCTGTTCTAGTTGATACATGTATATCATGTGTGAATTGTCTTGATTTAGTCATTTTGTCACAAGTTTATGGCTAATACTGTAATCTAGTTATAATTGATTGATCCTCCATATTCAACCAACCCGGTTAAAGTACCGGACATTCGCTTTTTGTCCTCTGAATTTCGTAAACAACACTTCCGCCATGAGAAGTCAGTAAGCCTAATGTACTAAGAGACGTTAATTTAGGTTTCTGGTTATCAGAAAAGATGATATAACTTTATCGTATAGATTGAAGACAAATGAAGCCAGTTTAATTCATACAGTTTTGTTTATCTGATCGAATAGTTCTTAGAATTCTTTAATGTAAGTCATCTGACATATCAAATTTTCTCAAGTAAATAGATTCATATAAGAGTAAATATTATTCAGATTATGAGTTTTTTATAATATGGCCTAGATTGTTGATTCTATGCAATCATTAACTATCCATAAAATTCAGACCGATTCAAAGTTAATATAATAACGTCTAATATAACTATAAATCAGTTCAATAGTCCATATTTCAAATCAACAGACCAACAAAGAGATAGAAAAAGAATGGAAATTATAATATCGATTAAGTTTACAATTAGGCAATTATATGATCATCAGAAGGGGTTTTTGTAGAAAACCTAGAAGCACTGAACGGCAGTTTCGTTCATGGTAGCCTAGCTTCAATTGACACATGATCTTAACTAATGAAATTACGATGGTATCCACAAAAACCCCTTCTGATACTAACCAACATATGCTCACTAGTGACTGGCTTTAAGAGGTATTTCCTGGAGTTCTAGTGAGAAGCAGTGATCAGTGCAGTTCAAGCAGGTCTGTTGTGAGATAGTAACTCACTGATGATAATGGTGGATGTGTCGCTCAATTTCATGGATTAGTTGAAGCTAGAAATTAATACCATTGGATGCCGGCCAGCTCAGTGGTCTAGTTATTAAACGCTCGCGTGTGAGACCGATAAGTCCTGGGTTCGAATTTCGTGAGGCAGGAACGTGAATGCACACTGCCATTGGGGAGTCCCACAATAGGACGAAACGACCAATATTTTATGTCATTTATAAATCTCCCCCTCTCCTTCTCTCAACTCTATGTTATTTAATGTTAGTATCAATGACAACAAATAAATTAAGTATAAGAAGAGAATAAATGAAATTACACAAACAAAATATACATAAGTCAAGATTTATAGAAATTGTTAGTTTGTTTGTTTTTCACTTCAAGAAAACTCAATAATGTTTACTTATTGGTTGGCCAAGTAAATCAGGTTAACAGTCAGTCAGCTACAACATTGCATGAGACAAATATGTGTATCGATTCAAGTTGCAACACCTCACTCATTAGGACAACAACATGAACATCAAATTCATAGAAGTAGTTAATTCAATGGTGGTAATATATAGTAGAAAGATTATATATAAGGATATAATGCAGAAAGAAAGAATTAGTACGTAGAAAGAAAGATATGAAGTGATTTTAATCTCTTAGTTTAAGGGAAGACAAAGAGTGTATACAACTAAGCCATTGTGATCGATTCTCAGTCATGTTATACAAAGTCTCCAACCATAGGTTACGATAGTCACACGGACCCCAACCAATTAGTCTCCATCTAATTACATGGTTCAGACTCAGTCAGTCAGACAGAAACAATAAAGAACTTCGTACGTACGTACATCTGTTCAAGTTGCCATACCATATTAGCACACAGATATAGTTGTCAATTTAAATACTATAGTGGTAGAGGTAGTAAAAGTATAAGCAGTTATCGGAAAGATTAAGGTATTGAAAATACTTCAGGTAAACTTATAGTTATATCTATCTAAATCAAATTGCTTAACAGATTAAATCTGAATAAATGATAACTTGACCAATAGACAATTGATGAATCAGTAAATTAACGTAAGAAAGCAATCTATATTAATATTGGGATAATAGAAATATCGCAGATAACAACGATCACTAAATTATATGCTGAATACTTTATATCTAGTACCTTATCCTTGTCCTCTGAACCGATTAATCCGGCTACAGTGCCGAACACTGGGTTTTCGTCCGATGAATTTTGTAAACAACACCCCCACCGGGAGAACCAGTGAGTATGACGTCATTGATGGTGGAGCATACGCCATCCGACTAGCGTTCTCCATCAAACTTTGTCCTGAAAACTCGTTTCCAGTTATTATTCATCCTCTTGACGTCTGCTTTCAATTCCCGACCTCGCGTGTTCTTTAACCTTCATCTTTTCCATTTCCCTTCACGATTCAAAGTCAGCACTTGTTTCGTCATACAGTTTGGTGATTTCCTCAACTTATGTCCTATCCGATTCCAATGTCTTCTCTTAATTTCATCTTCAGTCGGATGTTGGTTTTTTCTCTCTCATAGTAGGGTATTGCTGATGGTATCTGGCTAATTGACATTGAGTATCTTGTCTAAATAACTGTTCATTAATACATGTAATTTTTTGATGATGGTTATGATAGTTCTCGAAGTTTTTCCAATCCTTACTTTTACATCTACATCGGATCCTCCTTGTTCATGGATGAAGCTGATCAGGTACGTGAAAGTGTCCACCTCTTCAAAAACTTTTCTATCAAATGTGATTCAATTGGTATAAGGATCTTGATTTTTCTTTTGTGTATGTTGAGACCTACTACAGATTAAATGAGCATTTCTGTAGAGTAACTAATTTTCGCAAAAAATATAATATTTGACCGATCAGTTTGTCGTACAGACCCCATAAAGATGAATGATGCCAATAAATACATCATTTAGATATAGATAGATAACATGAATCTTATCTTAGATAATTTAGATTCGAATCCTTTCTAGTTTCGAATATATGGTCGTATCTGATTTGTTAGATGGTCGGATCAAATCAACGGTAAACTCGAGTCAATCTGGGCTTTCCAAGTCGTGATTGATCAATCATAAAACACCGTTAGATGCCGGCTAGCTCAGTGGTCTAGTAGTTAAGCACTCGCGCGCAAGACTGATAGGTCTTGAGTTCGAATCTCGCGGGGGCGAGATCTTGGATGTTCATTGCTGAAGAGTCCCATAATAGGACGAAACGGCCGTTCAGTGCTTCCAGGTTTTCCATGGTGGTCTAGCTTCAACCATTGAACATTCAAAAATAAAATTGTACTTTCATTTTACTTACCCATAGTATTTTTTAACATGATGTTTAGTAAATCTCAATTGACTGATAGGTAGTTTAAATTCAGGATAACGTTGATAAATTAAATTTATATGATAATTTAATTCTGCAACAGCTTTATGGAAATTCTCTTTAACCATAGGATCCATGGTTGTTGTTGATGTTGTTAATGCTGAAGTTAGTGATGATGTTGTCTTGGAAGATTGAGAAGTTACACTATCATTACTAACAATAGAAGTAATAGGTTTGGTACCATTACAATCAGAGTTACTTTCCTTGTCAATACTATTATTATTAATATTAGAATCCATAGTGATGATAGATAGTTTCGATAAACTTTTTGATTGACTAGATGAATGAAGTTTAGCGGAACCAGTCGGTGCAATAGTCACATCATAATCACCAAAGAATGAGACAAGAAGAAAGTTACCATCATGTGCAATTACTTTGGCTGGCCAACGTGGATAATTTTGAAGACGTACCCAGACAATTGGATGAATCACATCCTAAGTAATGATAATGATAATAATTATTATTATGATAAAAGTCGAATTATGGTTATGACAAGTGTATGGTTTAAATCATTCACCTATACGAAAGTTTGAAAATGTAAAACTACATTATACTCACAACATTCAATGACCCTTAAACGATTCATGAGAAAGTAACACCGATTTCATTAGATAAGAACCATAGATAGAAAGAAGTGTATTGATGATGAATTAGAGTTAGGAGTTTGAACTACAATTCAGGTATATGAATAAGAACTTGAGAATTTGGTTACCTGGTGGGCAGCCTATGCCCCTCCCACGAGGAGTAACAGGCGTAAGTAAGTATTTGTGTTACGCATAGAATGTATAGCATTATTAGTCAAAGTCAATGATAGTACATCGAGTAGACGAATGCTTTTTAGCTGTACACAGATGATGTAGTTCTTTGGTTTTAAAATATCAAGAATCTTAAGGTTAACTTTAATACCTTAAAAACTATGATCCTTATTCCCTGATACCTTCCATATTTATTGAGTTCAAGAATTTAAATAATCAATTACTGATAATACTCACTTGGGTTTTCATAAGATATAACTTATCCATCAGTTCGTTATGATGTTCGTGAAAAATACTCGGTAGACACAATCTTAAGTTTGATTGATTTCCCAGTATAGCAAGCATATTTCAGCTGCATGAAAATTCAAGAAGACATTATAAAACCTTACATTGATAAAAGGGTCTATGTCTTCTCTATACTAGAGTTGTTCTATTTGAGCACCACTAGTCTAAGTGATTGGACATTTTATAGCACAATTTGTTCTTAATGCTGATGTAATAGTAATAAATAGTAATATATTGAGAGGCAAATAACGCGAAAAAAAAATTGGTCAAAGTTTGTAAACCTAAATACACTGAAAGAAGTAGTACATGACATAAATTATCCAATAACCTTAATGAATGAATATAATTTAGAGAATTATCATGTCATGGATTGATTGAAGTTAGACTATTAACACTACTGGATGCCGACTCAGTGGTCTAGAGATTAAGAGTTCGTATGAGACAGAAGGTCCTGGGTTTGAGTGCTGTATGCAGGATCGTGGATGCGCACTGCTGAGAAGTTCTATACTAGAACGAAATGGCCATCCAGTGCTTTCAGGTTTTCATTGATTTTCACATTATCACAATTATTAAATTAATCAGCTGAAAAGTATAACTAAAAATTGCTGAGTTATATATTTGCTCTTTCTTAACGCATATTAATAGGATGAATCGAGAATAAGTCAAAGTAATGGTACTTCACGCGATCATTGATCCGAATAACTATACCTGTGACGTGAATGTGTATATGAATGATGCGAATGGTCCACCAGGGTTTCTGGTACCTGTGTGGTTGCTATACTACTCAGATTGTAGCGTTAAAGCTTATAAGGTCTCTGGTTCTCCTGTTAAACGGGATTGAGCTGTACCGTTTGGTTTGTCACATGAAAGTCTGGATGGTGTCTGGTTCTTCTGAAAGCCAATGTAAAATTCTCTAGCCCACAAGGATGTATTATAGAACTGTATAATGGTATTTTAAATATAATTGTGAGGACTAAACATAAACAATACAGGGTTCGAAGAAGTGAATGAATTTATAGAGTAAAACGAATGCATTTAACTTACAGTGATCATTTTTGAGATGTGTCAACGACCCCCCCCCCCGAGAAATCTTAAGAGTTTGTATATCCTCAAGGAAATGATTATCTCTATATTACATTTAAGTATAACTTTTAGTAAAGTTGAATAATAGCTAACAGTGAAATTTCGAATTCATAATCCGTTGTATTATGAACTTATTAGTTGAATGTATCGAATGTAATCTCAATGATAATTTTTACACTGTGACTCAAACTTAACTGAACTCAAATATTAAATGGTTATCTATTTAGCCACTGAGTTCACATAACTACATGTATATACTTATAAATGGCTGAGTATTCCTGATGATTATACATTTGATATTCATCTAAGATGAATGCTCAATCAGAAAGTAAATAAAATAAACATATAAATACTTACACATAATTTACAAAACCACCAAGGATCTAATGTAGGTACCGATGATGATGATGACAAACTTTTGGATTCGTTATTATTACTAGTAGTATTAGTAGGAGTATTATTGTTGCATTCATCGTTAACACCATTAAAAACGCTGATACTATCATTTCTAATTATTTCATTTGATTCATTTGGTAATAATGATGATGATTGTACTGAAGCTACAGTTAAATAAGATTCAGGTTCATTTTCAGTTAATGGAGGCAGTTTTCTAGTTGTCGATGGTAATAAATGAATTGCTGGCATACGATTAAGATAACATGTTGGACAAGCACGCATTAAATTAAACTCACGATGAAATGTACGATCTAGAAGACGTGCAGATGATGTAATAGAAGAACTGGCTAAAATTAAAGAAGAAAAATGAACAGTCTTAGCAAAAAATTGATTTATTCCGAAATGCCATTTTCAACTACAATCTAACTGGATTATTTATGTGTCAGTGACTTCAATGACTGACGCCACGTTTTGGTTTGACATACCCTAAATTTCTTCCAACCATCCCCAACACGAGTGTGCATTGCGCGTCGTGGTAATCGGTATTCACGTATACGTAACACGTGGCCCAACCATCTCAGTCGATGAAGATTTGCAACTGATTTACCACCATTCCCTAATACCTTGAGTCTAACCTCATTACTACTTACCCGATGATCCCAGTAGATGCGAGCAATATTTCTAAGGCATCTGTGGTCAAATACTAGTAGCTTACCAGTATCCTTTACCCTTAATGGCCACTGAAAGAACCCTCTAAAAGTGTGCAATTATAACACCATATCGGATCAAGGCCAGGACCTTGATATTTTACTGTAAGCAAGACATACTTAGAACAGCTGATTTGAAATCCGGTGGTCCATATTTTACGCTACCAGATACGTCGCATACTCGATTATTTACTACCAGTTTAACATCATTATGACGTTAAGCATAATCTACATAAGCATTAGCCATGCTGATCTCATCTGTCACACAGCAATCAGTTTATGCAACTTATAAACCTACCAAGACCTAGATACACAAACGTTTGGAACAAGGTTAGATGAGAAACCGTAGTATCCAGTGTCTGAAATACGTTCATACAAGATCCCATGTACAAACACCACTGGTTTGAAATCAAGTTTTCTCAACTCCTAGACAAAAACATCGTATCCGCCAATCCTGTCTAGATGGACGACATAAGATTTCGGCTTCCTAATTTTGTAAAAAAAAAATATATCCCTAACATTATTATTTGAATGTGAACAAATGTATGATATGAACTGACGCTCGATCACCAAATCTCGTGTTTGATCAGATTCAAACAACACGGTTTGTATGAGTATTTCTTATAAATAAGAACAAATATATTTTGATGGAGTTCTGTTCTCTGAGCTAGAAAGATCAATTATCTGAGCTACAAATCTCCCAACAGTCACATTCCTTATCATTCTAAGATCACTGATTACATTTCAGTATACACATCATATTACAATATTTTTAACAGAAAATACCATGTTTCTTAAACATTATTTCAATTTATTTTGCTTTTGACCTATTGTATATATAGTTTTGAAGAATCTTGCAGATCATATTTAGTTCACCATTATTATGAACTCATTTATTACGACCTAGATACTCTTATTGCTTAGTAGAGTCTTGGACACTAATTCACTTGACAAGTCTCCATATCAGAACACGGTTGAACAAGAACGTAATTACATTCCATGTAAAAAAAAGGTTGGATTGAAGTGAGTATTACAATTTTTTGTACAGGAATAATCTATAGTCTTTGCCAAGTATCCATTAGCGTTGATTGGTTAAGAAATAGCCAATCAGAATGTTCCAACATAATCCTGAATGGAATATGCCTTAATTGAAACTCGATCGCGTTAACAATCACTGAATTTAATCGTAAGCATTATTTTCATCTATATATACCATTTTTTTCATTGGGAAAAAAGGGTTACAAAAGAAATACTCACCACCATTAAATATGATACAATTATGAAGTATCCATCGGAAATCTCCAAGAAAAGCTTGAGGTGAAGCGTATACACCTGATTTAACACGCTGATACGTCAAGAAATAAGAGAAATACGCATATATATACAAAAGAAACATAAATATGAACTTTTATTATATGGAAGAAAGAAACGGCGAGACTATAATTTATGGACGAACCAATCAGATTTACGATGACAGATCTGAGATTTTGGCGCGAAATTCATTGACTCATTCAGCTAAATAGAGTCTTGGCATAATAGGTGATGTCAGTTCGTGATTAAAAAACGGTAAATCTAATTCCTAATCCTCACCAACCATCAATTGTAAATCATAATAATAATTCCTCACACTGGTTGGTTTATAACCCTCATTTAGCCCTAGTAAGTAGGTAAACACTCTCAAGTCTCACCAAATAAAACTTCTCGTTCATCAATAAACAGTGATAGTTCAAAACATAATGACGGAAAAACAGAGGATAAACCAGTCAGTCATAATCAACGTAAGATTTAACAGAAATAACCATTGACTCATGCCCATATACAATATTAGTGCATTTACATGAAATTAACAAGATTCATAACTAAAACGATGGAGTGATAGAAATATCTATGACTGAAAAAGACCACATAATAAATCTAGTTTAGAAAGAAATATTGACCGTCAAAGTAGTTAATAGTTGGTTTTACGTAACACAGCTTTAAATTCACAGTTATCGAATCCCTAGTGATGTTTATTCAGCAACACAAGTACAAATCTAAGTGAGAAATTGATTAACTAAATCAAGTGGGTTAACAAATACAGATATCAGTTTAGGGGTTTTGGAGATTGAGATCATGAAACGATTGATGTCAGACCACCATGGAAAACCTGGAAGTACTGGACGGTTGTTTCGTCCTATTGTGAGACTATTGTGGACCGCGTGGTGGCTACTCTAAATTCTACCGATTGACCAACTTCAGAAATCCTAGTACGACCCCAATACTGTTCCCCAATCTCCAATATATCAGAACACGAACCGTTAGATGAAAATAGTTTATAGGGTCAGGAGGATAATAATGATAATTTACAGACAAATGCATATTTATACAGCTAGGACTACCTAGAATATTGACCAACAGGAAAATGACACGTGAAATAAATATTGACCAATAGGAAAATGACACCATCTCACGTTCAAGGATAGCATTAGACTTAACAGGATAATTTTTGGGATATTTTTCTGAATATCCTAACAGAGACTCCTCAGCAATGCGCATCCACGATCCCGCTCACGGGATTCAAACCTGGGGTCTTCAATCTCGCGCGCGAACGCTTAACCTACTGGACCACTAAGCCGGCATCCAATGGTGTTAATGTCTAACCTCAACCAATCCGTTGCTGAGGAGTCCCACAATAGGACGAAAAGGCCATCTAGTGCTTCCAGGTTTTCCATGGTGTTCTATCACCAATCGGTTATTAATCTCAATCAAAATACAGATATTTATACACCAAAGTTATGAATTACTTGTATAAAAGTTTAGTCAGTCAAAAAGCAAACAAGTATTTGACTAGTTGATAAAATGTTAGGTAGTAAAGATTTCGCATTGAAAAACAACTACTTCTAAGTAATATGGTTAAGTAAAATTGCAAAATTTTTACTTAGAGGTACTAGGATGTAAACTTTAATTCTAAATAATTGAAAAAATGGAGACGAATGAAGAGGTAAATTACTACACATGCCACCTATAGCCCTCTTAATGTTACTAACGAACTGGAGACCAGGTAAAACACGGAGGGTTAGTATGGGTCAAACAACTAGCTAGGACATCCGAAAAAGCTGAAACAATGAAATATCAAACAACTATACGATACAACGAAAGAAATGACAAGGAAATATAATAAACCACAGAGAAAGGTCAAGGAAAAAGAAGCCAAGACAATCACTGAAATTCAAGAACAGATAGATAGATCTTGAGGAATTCTTGAATAGGCAAGCTCCAGTAAAATCCACCAGAAACATAAATATCCCTTATTACCGAAAAAGCTATTCATAAAAGTGTACATTTTAAAATAATGAAAAAGAAACAGAACGTGACATTTAAACGGTTCATACTAATAAAAGTGCCATCAAAAAGGTAAGTGAAAAAGGGGACAAATAGAACAGAAGTACATTAATAAGCGCGATTATAAAATGGACACATATTAACAAAACTGATCAGTGAAAGGGGGAATAACATTTTTAATAATGTGAAATATGTTCGATATATATTTTGTCCACTTTGCCTTACGATCAATCAAAAAACTTGTTTTCCTAAACATTTGATGAAGAAGGGTTTTTGTGGATATTATAGTAATTTTAATAGTTGAGATCCTGAGTCAATTGAAGTTAGACCACCATGAAAAACCTGGAAACACTTCACGGCCATTTCGTCCTATTGTGAAACTCCTTAGCAGTGCGCATCAACGATCACACCCCGCAAGATTTGAGATGATGAAAAGTCTGATTCTAACAAATACAATAATCATTCAACTTTCGTAAAAAAAATGTTATCGTTATTACTCTAAGTAAGTACATAAGTAATTTGCATCTAACTTAGCTTTATCTCAAATATGATTGTGTTCCGTTAGTTGTGACAGCATGACTTACAATTCACTGAACGTTATTCCGTACATCTTTAAATTTTCTTGTTCTTAATAGTTTTCTCTTTTCTAAACATGCTACCATCCACTATTAAAATGTTTGAGGACTTATTGCTCTTTATGTATTCCGAATCCCTTCCATATAGATACAAATTTATGATGTATATCAATACATCCTATGATCTTTACATTTTTGATCACCTGAATTTGTCTAACAAACACTTAATCTGTCAGGAATCCAACACATACAAACACCCTAGCTGTTTCAATGGATGTAAAAGATAACATGGCTAAGGTAATAACAATTTGTTACCAAGTTTGTTGGAAGCAGACTCTTTATCATAGATTTAAGAAAACACGCTTCCATATATAATTTAAGTTAACTTCAAATGTCTAAAGGTAACATAGTGTCCATAGATTTTAGTGTTCTGGAAAAGAGTTGAAAGTGAACATTATTGAGAAGTCTTCTACGTTAGGATTATGAATGAAAAATGGTTAATTGAGTTGTTCCTTAACAAAGGATTCTACAGTTCTATAATATACTTTTGTGGGCCAGGGTAATTTTACATTGGTTTTCAGGAGAACCAGACATCATCCAAACCTTCATGTGGCAACTCAAACAGTACGCTTCAATCGCGTTTACAAGGAAAGCCAGACATCGACCAGGTTTAATTCGAGTAGTACAGCTCTATCCCACTTGCAGAAGAACTAGACACTAACCAGACTTGAAATTTGTTGTTTCTTCACCTCCATCCCTTCATCAAGCAATGTCGATTTTCCTGTTCCGTTAAAAACTTTGATATACCCTAGTTTCAATGGTTTTCTTTCTTTCTTAAAAACGTCTTTACTAGATGTGAGAACTAGAAATACAATCCTTTTATTCAAGCAGAAGTAGGTGCAGTGTAGTTTGAACTAAGGATTTAGAAGTTTAAAGTCAGATGTCCTAACCACTGGGTTACCGCTCCATAAACTGGATGTTTATGTAAATTCCGTTCGTGATGTAAGCTGTACTTAAATTCAAATTAGACGTTTACGATTAGGAAAATCATTCTCATTGGATTGTATGAAATCTGAACAGGATAATGAGGTAATCCTCTATTCCTCTACTGGAATAAAAAGTCCGAGGAGACTATAATTTATGAACGAACCAATCAGATTAATGATAGCTGGTCTTGGATTTTGAAGCGAAATTCATTCATCTTTTTGGCTAAATAGAGTTTTAGCATTATAAATGATGTCAGTTTGTGATGAAAACTCTAAATGTAATTCCTAATCCTAACCATCAATTGTAAATCATAATTCGAATTCCTCATACTGGTTTATAACCCTCATTTGGTCCTAGTTATTAGGTGAACACATAACGTTGGGAAATAGAATCAGATATGAAAAAATGAATAACAATTGGAAAAAAGTGGAAAGAATTGACCAGGATAGGGTTGGATGAAGAATGCTGGTGAGTAGCCTATGCTCCTCCACAAGGAATAACAGGTGTAATTGAGTAAGTAACTAAGTATTAGGTGAATACTCTCAATGTCATTTTAGCGTCTCTCACTAAAAGTTCTTATAATGAAATTATGATCAAATCATTGAACATTGTAATTTCTCTGATACTAATGAACAGTAATACATACAGGTTTGTTGAGATTTCTCATCATACAAAATAAAAGCAAATAACAGACTCATACTTCTAACGGCATTTATTTCATATACCCTTCTATAAAACGATTACATTGTTAACATTCTAATCAATTCATACGTAAAACTTCATACTTATTTATATACAGTTCATTCTACTAATAAGTAGTATCATAATATTAACCATAAACGCTCAAAAAATGATAGTGTAATAATCCGTATTGAATACACTACTATTCTTTGTAATGAAATCTTTACATATTGATTAATTGAGACTAAGTCATGAGTTATGCCAAGTCTATTAAGTAGAGTCTTTCACATTCCACAGCCCCCAAATGCTCTGGTACGGCCGAGAGTGGTGAGAGTCCGCTCTCTCGAAATGCTCGCATATGGCCACGCGTATATAGCCTCTGTTAGCTAAGTCTTACCCACTAGATTCTCGTGGTAGGGTTGTTGTTCACAGAATTGAGAGGACGAAAAGCGAATGTCCGGCGCTTTAACTGGGTTGGTGGACACGGAGAGTCCACCTAGAGGGGTTGGAAAACGCTGATTCCAAACCAATGGTGCACATGGGCTCCAGGATCATGAAGGATAAAATGGCGTATGAAGCAATAGTTGGTCGCCGGATAACATGTGATCACATCTCCTTATGTTACTCTACTGCACTGTGGATCAAACTTTTAGGTTGAAGGCTCCGAGTGTGACGCCTTAAGAAAACCACGTGCTTTGGTTTAGGCACCGGGCAGTATCAAAGCCCTTACACAAACCAAATGAGATTTGTGTGGCGCATATGTATTTGGTGCCTCCTTGTATCAATATATATGTGTTCAAATAAACACTAATAATACAGCCACATTTGACTATATTTGTATAATTGTTATTTTCTATCTTATGGTTCCATATAGTCTGGTTAGTTTGTATATAAACCCAGTATGTTTCAAATATATGATTTATATAGTAGAGGCTGAGGTTGGTGTTCTGAACTTAACAGGTAAGTCTAGGCGGGAAGCAGGGCCGATAAAGACTCCAAACTCCTCGTAATTATTTTATACGTCATTTGATCCGGTCGATAAATCACTGTTAATTTAATTGACGGTATCATTACGTTATACACTGATAGGCTCAAAAACCCATAGGTTATAAGACAAAAAATTAGAATATAACTACATTAAGTATACATCCAATACTCAAACTTCACTTTAGCCTAAATATCCATAACTCATCATAGTCAATCAGTCTGTGGTAGTCAACAACAAAATATGTATCAGATGACAAGATTACACATTAATTCACACCAGAACACTGAATTGAGTTAACAAAATTAAAAACAATTAAATAAGTAAATTTAATAGTTGAGATACTGAGTCATTCGAAGCTAGACCACTATGTAAAACATGAAAGCACTAGACGGCAGTTTGATCCCAGTATGTGAATCCTCGGCAGTGAGCATCCAGGTAATTCCTGGAGTTCTGGTGAGAAACAGTGACCAGTAAAGTTCAGCCAGTTCTGTTGTGAGATAGTAACTCACTGATGATAATGGTGGACGGTGGCGCAATTTCGAGGATTAGTAGAAGTTGGACATTAACACCATTGGATACCGCCCAGCTCAGTCAGTGGTCTAGAGGTTAAGTGTTCGCGCGCGAGACCAATATGTCCTGGGTTCGAGTCCCGTGAAGTGAAGTCGTGGATGCACACAGTTAAGGAGTCCCACAATAGGACGAAAAGGTTGTTCAGTGCTTCCAGGTTTTCTATGGTGGTCTAGATTCAATTGACTGATGATCTCAGTTATTATCATCCACAAAACCCCTTCTGATACCAGATTAAATAAGTCAAAATACTAATATCAATGGAAGTAAACAATTAAAACATAGAAAAAATATACAATTCAAAGGCAACTAACTTATTAAGAAATAAGATAAGATATGAAAAGTAGGAAATATGATATTGATAAATAAAATTTAGTAGAAAAAGATTAAGACTAGATACATTCCAACAACATTCTAAATGTATAACTTGATATCTTCAACTCTATAGATGATGATTATTAGATAGATTTCATTGAAAGCAAAAGGTCTCTACCACCTAATACACACCATTGAATTCAGTAACCTATAAACTCTATAAAATAACAAATTATATCTATCACTGAATTCACTTGGTGTTGTTTTACTTGAATCATCCTATTGTTAACGGGTTCGGGTCCCAGAATGAACATCAATTCTGAGATGAAGGTACATCCAGCTGATGAGTCCCAACTTGGACGAAACGCACTTTGTCCTGGATCCCACTGTTAGCCACTATCCATCTTTGCATACAGATCGATCACTGTTTTGCATTATTTTTTTTTGATCACTTAGCCAACAGTCAGTATTATTGATCAACTAAATTAGTCAATGAAAATCTAAGGCCCTAATTAGCCGATTTCCTTTAAAACTAAGGAAATATTATTTCATTTATGGTATAACTAATGATTAAAGGCAATGATTGACAGATATATCTCACTATTTTTAATTGTATCAACAAAATGAACAATTCATGAAACAAATAATTGAATAATCCTTTTGTTCTCAGTATGGGGTCGTGGAGATTATTATGTTTTTGATTGAGATCATGAACCGATTAATGTTAGACCACCATTGAAAAACTGGAAGCATTCAACGGCCATTTCGTTCTATTGTGAGCCGCCTTAGCAGTGCGCATCCACGATCTTGCCAGCAGGATTCGAACCTAGGACCTTCGATCTCGCATGTGAACCCTTAACCTCTAGACCAATGAGCTCGCCGGTATCCAACGGTGTTGTTTTGTTCGCTTATATCTAGGCGTTAAATTCTATTGCGATTTGCAATTCCATTTAGAAACATAAATTTTTTTTCAATTCTACTGGATTACACCTCCACCTATTTATCAGTTAAAGATAGTGAAGTACATAAAGGAGTGTATTATGTAAGATCGTTCTATTTTCGCTACATAGATTAAATACTTAGTTACAAATCTGAATAAAATAATACCAGAACTTTCGATGACCTTATAGATAAACAATTTGTACAGTTTAAAATGTCATTGTTTATTTGACGATAATTTGGACGAATAATATTGACCATAGTGTTACTGATACACACATCTGGGTACATATTGAAAGACTACACTTTCCTGTTATGTTGCTGCTAATCGATATCATGAGTTTGATCCATCAACAAAAGTTTTATTTATAAACTTTTGTATCCCTTATCTACTATTTCGTTTATAGTATAGCGTTGTCATAAACACGACTAATTATAAGCTCCAATCTGAATAATTAACGTTAAACTGACGAAAGCTATAATCCAGTTGGTTCGCTATCTGCATTGAACACGACGAAAAGTCAACAGTCAGCTTCAAGTACATTTATTTCAAGCACATGTGGGCTTATAAACAAACATACTGAACTACAAGCACACCAAAAATATAGAAAATCACAACTAGAAACAAACAAGCCAAAACTGACTGTGAATAGGATAAGATCTGAACAATCGGTTGACAATAAAAAAAAGAACAATTAACCGTATGATATCATCCATATAGACTGACTGTTTTTGAATCTTGCCATTATTGTTTAAGGCTGCAATTGATCAGTATTAGCAATTATATAATAAGAATATATATGCATATATAACAATAATATTAATCCACAGAGTAGATCTCGGTGTTACTCATTTTTTCAATCTTCGTCCTGACACGTGATATGGTCGAGAGACCAAGCCATTGAGTAAAGAGAGACACAAATAAGGGATATTCTAACTTCAAATGAAACATACACCCAAGTATCAATAGGCATTAAGAGCAATTATACGAAATTAAATTAGTGATAGATCACAGAAAACAAGTGAAGTAAGATTGTGAAGTTAACCAATTAATATGAACTATAGAAAAAGTTTATGATTTTATGCTTATTACTAAACAATTATTAGTAGTCTGTGTTTTTTTAGTTGATCAAACAAAAAAAGTGTTTTTATTGTATGACCTGAGAAAACTACCACAACCATCATCAAAAATGCACAAGTACCCAAAAACAATTGTCTGCACAAGACACTCAATGTCAATTAGCCGTGGTACAGCCGAGAGTGGGGGGAGATCTCTCTCTCGAAATGGTCTCACATGGCTACGCTTATATAGCCTCTGCTAGGGAAGTCCTACTCACTGACTTCTCATGGCATTACTATTGTTTACGGAACTGAGAGGATGAAAAGCGAATGTCCGGCACTTTAACTGGGTCGGTGGACATGGAGAGTCCACCTAGGGAAGTTGGAAAACCCTCATTCCAAACCAATGATGCACATGGGCTGGCTCCAGTCTCCTGAGGGAACAAATGGAGTATGAACCAATCGTTGGTCACCGACTACCATGAGACTGCATCTCCTTACGATGCTACACCGCCTTGTGAACCTTTAGGTCGATGACTCCGGGTGTGGCCCCCAAAGAAAACCACCTGGTTCGGAGTGAGCACCTAGGCAGTATCAAAGCCCATACACAATTCAAATGAGATTTGTGTGGCCCATATGTATTTGGCGCCCACTTGTACCAGTATTTATGTGTTCAAATAAATAAATAAATAGGATACCATCAGCAACCGCCTACTATGGGAGAGAACAAACTAACATCGAACTGAAGAGGAAATTAAGAAAAAACACTGGAAGTGGATAGGACATACATTCCTGAAATAACCAAACTACATCACAAAGCAAGTGCTAACTTGGAATCCTGAAGGGTAACGAAAAAGAGGACGGTCAATGAACACACTACATTGGGAATCGAAAGTAGATATCAAAAGAATGAATAGCAGCTGGGAACAACTGGGAAGGATTGTTCAGAACAGAGTTCGATGAAGAATGCTGTTGGGTAGCCTATGTTCCTTCACGAAGGGTAACAGGAGTAATTAAGTAACAAAATACAATGTAGCATTACCAGGGTTCTTAAATCAAACTACGCAGATCTAAGTATATATAGTAACTGTACTTGATTGAATCATTAAGTTATTGCTACACATGTACAACATTAAGCAAACATACGACTAATTATCAATAGTATAATATCAGGTGTTTTGTGGATATTATAGCAATTTCAATGGTTAAGACCATGAGTCAGTTGAAGCTAGGCGAGATCGTGAAGGAGTCCCACAATAGGATGAAACGGCCGTCCAGTGCTTACAGGTTTCCATGGTGGTCTAGCTTTAATTGACTCATGATCTTAACCATTGAAAGTATTATAATATCCACAAAACACGTTCTGATATAAATCAACATATGCTCACTAGTGACTGGATTCAAGAGGTATTTCCTGGAATTCTAGTGAGAATCAGTGACCAGTGGAGTTTAACCAGCTCAGTGGTCTAGTTATTAAGCGCTTGTGCGTGAGACTGAAAGGTCCTGGGTTCGAATCTCGTGGGAGAGGCGCTATCGTGGGTGAAACGGCCATCCAATGCTTCCAGGTTTTCCATGATGGTCTAGTTTCAACTCACTCATGATCTTAACCATTGAAATAATATGATAGTATAAGATATTCATAGACATTTAGAGAGAAATTAAACATAACTTACAGAATATAAAGTACGTAAATCAATTGGATACTTTATTAATTCTTTATAATTTTTAACAGTTGTTGAGTCGACTGGTTCACGAAAATATCGTGCCTAAATTAAATGAAAACATAATGAAGAAATCAATAATTGATACCTTGGTAACAAAAATATATATTCAATCAATACAAATATTATAATGTATATATTTTGATGAAGTTTTTTTGTGGTATTTGAATGAACTAATGTTTCCTTTATACTTGTTGAATGCTTGATCTCGAATTCCAAATACAGTACATTTGTTCGTGCTTATCTAGTACTTCTTGATCCAATTGCGTTATTTATGGGATTCCTAGTTTGTACTATAATTCAAGGCCCCCAAATGCCCTGGTATGGCTGAGAGTGGGGTGAGCCCACTCTCTCTCTCTCTCTCTCTCGAAATGCTCTCACATGGCCACGCGTATAAAACCTCTACCACGGAAGTCCTACTCACTGCATTCTCATGGCGGATGTGTTGTTTACGAAAATAAGAGGACGAAAAGCGAATGTCCGGTGCTATAACCGGATCCAAACCAATGGTTCACATGGGCTGACCCCAGTATCCTGAAGGAACAAATGGTGTATGAGTCAATCGTTGGTCACCGGCTTCCATGGGATTGCATCTCCTCATGATGCTCCACTGCCTTGTGGGTCAGACCTTCAGGTCGAAGGCTCGGGGTGTGGCCCCTTAAGAAAACCATCTGCTTCGGTTTAGGTACCCGGGCAGTATCACAGCCCTCACATAAATCAATTGAGATTTATGTGGCGCATATGTATTTGGAGCCACCTTGTACCAATACCTATGTGTTAAAATAAAAATAAATAAATAATTCAAATAGTCTTAATTATCACATTGGCGTAGAGATGAAGCCTGTAGTCGAATGGTTGGACATACATTTAGGTTCGAAATTTTGGGCTATGACCAAGGAAGATGCTGAGGATGTTAATATTGTGGTACATTTCCTCATATTCATCGGAAAAGAAGCATACAGCTTATTGAAAACTCGAGCTTTAACAGAAAAGTCTATTTCGCTTCCTTATGCAACTCTCAAGGAACTACTGTTAGACTATGTTAAGTATACAAATTTCGAATACGATAAAGGAGGAGAATTCTGTAAAATGACTGATCAAGATATCAAAAATTCCACTACAATACTACATCATCCCAATCTAGTGTGTACTAAACGTTATGCAGATAATTTATTGAGGAGTTACGATGCATTTCATGAAGAGAGGCACAAGTTTGGTCAATGTTTTCCTGTGGCAAGTTTCATTCATTTATTTCATGTGTATTTCATGATCATAAATCCTTCAAATGTAGTGAGATTGAACACATTCAGTCAGTTTGTCATACTATAGTTCATTCCACTGAAACTAATACTAAAAATTATAATTGTGTTCCTATTAAGTTAGGTGTTTCTAATAATCATTTATTTTTATCCACTACTTCGAAAAGTGGTATAGAGTCTTATAACAGTCCAAAGTTAAATGAAACTCAAAATCCTTATGAGACAATAGTTTGTAATTAATCAACATATCAGATTTCTCACGTCATTGTACCAGATATAGTTTTTCCTAATGATTCATGATCGAAAATCTGATGTAGTTTTGATTGATGCTGATTTTTCTAATGATCCTTTGCTCTGCAATGAAATTCTTAATAAATTTGAGGAAACTATTTCAGACAAATCAAATCCTGATGATGTCATATCATATATTACCTATCCTAATAATGTATTTGTTTCTTGTGGGAAACTTGTTCAGTGTGAAGCACAAGTATTAAATAAGCTCAATTTTGATTACATTTCAAACAATTTCATATCAACTGTTGTTTATCCTTATCATAAAGTCACTTCTAATGTATACTCTAGTCAATATGTGAAATATGTTTTAAATGAAGACAAATCATTCATAACTTGACGATATGAAGATCCAACATTATTTCGTGGGGGGAAGATATTCTGAAATTCTATGGTTCAAATTCTAGGTAGCAGTAGTTTCAGTATTCAATCGACATGGTGACTGTACACAATCCCAGGAAGCAGGTAGATCTGTTCCGATTTTGGTTGTTAATTCTAATACTAATGAATGTATTCTAGATAGTACAGAGTCTTTATCCAATACACTGTCGGACAAACACAAAATGAACTTAAGAAGAAGATGTACAATCGATTACAGACACTTAGACTCCGATTTAAGTTGTGGCGAATGTGGTGTTTGAATGAACTAATAATTCCATTGTACTTGTTGAATGCTTGATTTCAAACTCCAAATATAGTACATCCGTTCGTGCTTATCTAGTACTTCTTGATTCGATTGCGTTATTTATGGGATTTCTAGTTTGTGCTATAATTCGAATACTCCTAATTATCACAGTTTTATTCTCTGAGTTGGATGGTTTGATTGTGAAGTTTTCATTGTTCTTCTGAACAATATCATTAACACAAACTTTACTAAAAATTGATATTGTGCGTGTAACAACTAGAGAATAATCATTTCGTTTATATTGGCAAGTACATATAAATGAAAATGGATCTATAAATCGATGATAAACAAATTCTGAGGTTACTTGATAACACAATTCATGACAAATATTCAATTTTTTTAACAAGTAACTATATCACTCTTGATTTGCTTCATCAATTAAGTTTAAAAGTTCAACAAATAGTCTAAGAACTTTGTTTTGTTCTAGTTCACAACATTTAAACAGTAAATATTAACAAATTCAAATATGATAGAACTAAGAACGTGCCAGTGAGAACAATCAAACATAACTAGATGACTTTATAAACAATTGAAGGATTGAAAACTTACACAGTACGAATTGAATAAAACAGGTCGAATATACGGACGCAAATAACCGAGTCAGGAGGAGCATTAGAGCCCACAAGCAGAAATACGTTGAAAACATAAACAACGACGGTAGAAAATGCCGTAAGAGAAGTCAGTGTACAAAAACTATATGATACAACGAGGAAACTACGAGGGAAATATTATAAACCAGAGCGATAAGTAAAGAACGAAAAAGGTAAACCAGTCACTGAGTTTCAAGAACTGCGGAACAGGTGAGTAGAAGAGCCCTTGAATAGATCAGCCTCACTGAACCCACCGGAAATCGAAGCAGTACCTATAGATCTTCCTGTAGATGTTACCACATCAACAATAGAAGAAATCAAAATGACCATCTAACACATCAAAAGTGAGAAACCAATGTGCAGAAGGCATATCAGCTGAAGCATTCAAGTCAACTATTGAGGTAACTGCAAATATATTCTATGTTCTTTTCAGAAGGATTAAGTGGGGTAGAACAAGTACTAATCAGATGGGGAATACTTCATCAAAATACCAAAGGAAAATCACAGCAATTGTGAGAACTACAGAGAGATCACACTACAATCAGTACCAGGCAATGTTTTCAGCAGTGTTGTTGAGGGGAATGAAAGATTCAGTAGGAACCCAACTTCGAAATCAACGGGTTGGATTCCATAAGAATCGATAGTGTATAGACCAAATCGTGATACTATGGATCACTGTTGAGGACTCAATTGGATGGAACTCATCACCATACATCAACCTCCTTGACTATGAGAAACCATTCGATGGAATGCATAAAAGCACCTCGTAGAATTTTCGATATTATAGAGAACCTGAGATTATCACCATCATACGATACTCTTGTAAGGGACTGGAGTGAAAAGTCGTGGATGAACGATAACACACCGATCATTCCAAATGAAGACTGCTGATAGATGAAGCTGTCTATACTAGCCTCCTCTCCTTCTTCTGATGGTTGGTCGGATTATGAAGACCTCCACATATCAGGAGGACAGAATACGTAAAACAGCTTGGATGCCGTTAGACGATTTGGACTTCGCAAATAATCTCACTCTCATATCCCATACACACCAACAAATGCAGATGATGACACTCAAGTGTAGCAACATCCTTTGCAGCGGTAGACCTCAACATACGCAATAGAAAATCAAGATCCTCAAATACAACAATGCGTACACCAACTAAATCACACTTAATGGTGAAGCTTTGGACGAAATCGAAGCTGTTACTTTCTTGGACAACATTGTTGATAAACAAGGAAGATCTGATGCAGATATGAAGGCACGGATTGATAAAGGAAGGGAAGCATTCATACGATTGAAGAGTATATGGAACTGCAAAGAACTATCATCCAACATCAAAATCAGGGTTTTCACAATAAACTTTAAACAGTTTTATTGCACAGAGGTGAAACTCGAAGAACTACCACTACAATCTCCGGAACAGTACATATATTTATAAACTATTATCTACCCAATGTACTTTAAACCCAGTGACAAGAGACCATCATCAATATTCTACCCTGAGAAAGAACAAACCAGCTGCCAGTTGAGATTAGGAAATGATGGTGATAGACAGAATACACTATGGGGAAACCATTAAACTATCTTACAAGCGAAGCCCTAACCTGGAACCCTAAATGCTAAGAGTGAAGAGTCAGACCAAATGAATGAATAGGGCTTGGTAAAAACTGGAAAGGAGATCCGAGGACAGAGATGTTTGGAGATCCCTGGCCGGAGACAATTGTCTCAAGACGGGTAGCATGTTTAAGTAGTAAGAAGTACTAATATACAACGTCTGAAATGAGTATTACAGTTCAGGAATTCGATACTTACAGATATGGCTTAAACTAATAGCCAATGAAATCATGGCCTAGAAAAATGTTCTGATCTGTCTGCTCCTGCCATCATTCCAACTTTTTTGAATGTAGTTATGAAATGTTTACCAATGTATTGACAATTTTCAAATTTTTTTTCTAATAGTTTGGGTATATTATTTGACAAGAACGGTGGCTTAGTCGAGCTCAAATTTCAACAACTAGAACACAGATTCGAACACTGTTTTACCCACTTTGCTCCATGCAACAGAGTAATATAGAATCTGATCAATGTCAGTCAGTAAAACACAAGTAACGTTTAAACTAGTACATATGTGGATTGGTTAAATTTGGCACTATAATGAGATGAAATTACCAAGACGAATCTCAAAGAAGTAAAGATGAACACAGTATCAGTAATAGAAAAGATTACTTACAGATAATACACTTCAAGAAGAATTGATAGGATAAAAATTATAAGATAATTTTAAAACTTAAGATCTAAGGGAAGATGAAGAATGAAATCATTGGTGCCATCACGACTTATTTTGAGGCATGCCGCAAAACATAGCCTACTACCGCTTACAATAACCAAATAGACCCATGACCTTTGGTCTCTCCCACGAGCGTTTAACTTCAAGAGCAGTGATCCGAGATCTAATAGTGATCAATGTACGATACTGTGCGACAATCTTCCATTATCTTCGGCAGGTAGCTTCACAATAGACACGGTTGAACTTCTCTAGTTGCGACTTATATCTGAAACTCTGCAAATCTCCTCTCAAAGATAGTCATCAGTGAGTGCATATGTTTAAACATATACGTTTGTTTAAAGTAAAATATATAGTGCAGTCAATGGGGATCAACTGAACCCACATTACAATAAAACAATTTGCTAAACTAATAACATTATCAAATGATATGATCGTAAATAGCCAAAGAGTCTATTCCTCTCGTTATTCACATAACTGAATAGAATATAAAGTTCGAACCAGTTACAACCTATGATCGAGGATATTAGATAGCAAAGAGAGAACTCGGTCACAATGGCAACGTTCCATTCATCCTATCATTATTAAGTTTAATTTCATTCCATTCATTCAATCTCATTTGTTCCTTTGGGTCTGTACCTGTAATATTTACATTTCCATTGTAGTTGAAAGTCATTTTTGTTTAGTGTTTTTGAATTTGTTAGATTTCTCTCTTACTATACGGATGTGATGTGTGACAACTTAAAATAATACACATTACTTCCAAAACCTACGTTGATGATGAATGACTAATTGATGGAATAATATGCACTAACGATACATAGGTGTGCTTAATGATGAACAGATGACACATATTGATGGAAATCAGTAAAGTGTTGACCAAATAAAAACAAGTTAAGTTTAAGAGTTAAAAGCGATAGTATTTACAAGAACATATGATCATACAAAGTTAAACAAATGAAAATAAGAAAATTAGATAATGATCAAGATGGAACATTGTTGTTGTAGTTAGGCAGGCAGGCTGATATCACTTGCCGATATGAAAGTGGAAGCGAGTCCACGAACTCGTGTGACAGGATACAGAAGTTAGTTTATTGAGTACATTTATTTGAACCTTATCCTTGTTAGGGTGGAAAGAAAGCAGCTTTCGAAACAATGATCATCTAAGTTAATAATTTTGCTACCATTACAACGTCTCAGCATGACAGCAGTAAATGTTAAAGAGTTATTCTAAATAAGTTCCTCAACTTTTAACAAACTTTAATATTGCTCAAATATACGATAAACATTTCGGTACTAATCATATAGTCATCATACATAAACATTACTTATATCTTTTTTGAATGCCAAAACATCTTTTGATAAAGAAAGGGTGTAACGTTCATGTAGCAATGATGACAACAGATACGAACCAATTGAACTTGGTAACATGGTGAAAATTTATGGATTAAATTATATTAAGCCTCATGTACACCGTCCAATTGCCTGAATGGTGAACAAATATAAAACTATAACTTGAATACATGACATTGATGTAGAACGACGATCCATCTAGGGCAGTTGGAAAACTCTCATTCCAAACAAATGGTGCGCATGGGCTCCAGTATCCTGAAGGAACAAATGACGTATGAATCAATCGTTGGTCACCGGTTACCATGCGACTGCATCGCCTTACATTGCTCTACTGCCTTGTGGATTAGATATCTAGTTTATAAAAACATAAGCAACTGAACGTTTTATGCAATGAAACGGGTTCTAGTCATGAATTAAATAGCAAAATTACAAAAAGATAATAATAAAATAAGTGCGTTCACACACAGAAGAGTTTTTAAAAAAGGATAGAAATCCTACCCAAGATTGTCTAGATAATCGATCCAAAAGAAAGAATAACATTCGTTTCAATTGATCTTCGGTAATATTACACCATGATTCTAATTGATACAATGAACATTCAGCTAACATAACATCTTGACATTCAGGACAAAGCCATACATCTGGAAAGTCTGTTGCACATAAACAAGTTGCATGAAACACTCTCGGACAATAACTACATATAACAACCTAAGCAGAGAAACAAAAAAAAAAAAAAAAGAAATAATGGATAAATCTCTATGATATGGAATAATCATAACCATAACAATAAGAATGGAACATAGAATATGATCCAATTGGAATTTTACACTTACTAAAACTTCAAACAAAGTGGATCATGATCAGTAAACAGATAATTCAAAGAAGATAAAATTACTGAAATAGTTAACCATAGAATAAATACTGAAATGAAGATTGTTTATTTTAAAGTAAAATTGAACACTTTATACGAAATGAACTACTTCCTCAAAACAAAAATTGACAAGCCAACTTTTGTCAACTTACATGTACGTGCTGAAACATGTACATTGAAAGTATTTATTTTATTATTTATTATTTTTTTATTTAAACACATAAATATTGGTACAAGAGGGCACCATATATATATGCGCCACATAAATCTCAATTGATTTGTGTAAGGGTTGTGATACTGCCCGGGTACCCAAACCGAAGCAGGTGGTTTTTTTAGGGGACCACACCTCGAACCTTTGACCTAAAAGTCTAACCCACAAGGCAGTGGAGCATCGTGAGGAGATGCAATCCCATGGAAGCCGGTGACCAACGATTGACTCATACACCATTTGTTCCTTCAGGATACTGGAGCAAGCCCATGTGCATCATTGGTTTGGATCCGGTTAAAGCGCCGGACATTCGCTTTTCACACACACCACGAGAAAACAGTGAGTAGGACTTCCCTGGCAGAGGCTTTATACGCGTGGCCGTGTGAGAGCATTTGGAGAAAGAGGGCGGGCCCACCCCACTCTCAGTCATACCAGGGCATTTGGGGGCACATTGAAAGTACTGAGAGAAGAGTAAGTGTTTGCATCACCGAGTACGTTCCAAAGAATTGGAGACTTAAAGTTGTATTGGCTCTAAATAGTGTAATTTTTCAGGATTCAACTGATACCCGGTATATCATAGATATTCTCCCAATTCTTTAAAAAACACCGTCTCTTCGATTTGCCGAAGCAGTAGGAATTAAAGAGCTGAAACGTGATTTATGTGTTCTGACAAGGACAGCAATAAACTTAATGTAAACTTTTCGGATTTCTATTATTACAAAGGGGTTTTTGTGATTGTTATAGTTGAGTTCATGAGTCAATTAAAGCAAGACCACCATGGAAAATCTAAGAGCACTAGACAGTTTTTTTGTCCTAATGTGGGATTCCTCGGTAGTGAGCATCCATGTTCTCGCTCAGCGAGATTTCGCATAAGTGTTATGTAATCGATTTTATCAACCTTTAATTATAGATGATTACCACCTCATTACACTACATATTCTATGTCTATATTCAACTCATATGGGTGGTTATGTAAACTCTTGACATTTATAAACATCATACGATTCATCTTGTCAGTTTACAAATTTCATTTAATCACTATTTCGTCTCCTATGTCTCTTTGTATTGAATCTTATCACCAAATAACCTCATACTTGTTTAGTCTCAGATACACAGATAAGTATTATTAGCAATCTTTGTTATGCCTCAATGTTGAACATTCATACACATCAATGGTTGTAGGCAACTGATGAGAAACTATGAAATATAGTGAATTCATATTATTCTATCACAATTATTGTTTTAACTTTACTCGAATGGAAGTTAATGAAACTAGATTATTTTTTAAGGAAGATGATGTTTTCATGTAGTATATACTTTGAATAATTTAAGAACAAAATTCAATGGTTCTTCAGCTGAAGTGATTTTGCAGCGTATGTTTACTGGTGACTACGTAGCTGTGGTGTGAATAGGGTAAGCTATGTTGAGAGTAAGTTTGCAATAGTAACTCAACGACGATATCAGTTGGATCTATAAATATAAGCTGAATGGAAATGAAAACCCTTAAATCCAAAATCAGTTGTTTAGAGATACTATCCCCACCCTGTAAAATCTATAGATTGCAGTCAAAATGAAATTTATGACTTAATTGTTTAATCACCATAAGTTGCAGGTTCAAGGTTCGATTCCTTCAACGTTACAAATTGATACTTCGTTACACAATAGATAGATGATCACAGACTCAGATGATAACTTCATAATTAAAACATTCAAACACTTGGTTAAATATTAAAATTTCGTTTAACCTAATTTGGTTAGAATTACGACTATTTATATATAATAGGCTTTAAGACATACATTCAGTGTGTAACGGTTAGTGGTACTTGACTGCCGAAAAACCAGTTTGTTTAATGCCCTGGTACGGCCGAGAGTGGGGAGAGTCCGCTCTCCCTCTCGAAATGCTCTCACATGGCCATGCGTATATAGCCCCTGCCAGGGAAGTCCTACTCACTGCCTTCTCGTGGCGGGGGTGTTGTTTACAAAAATGAGAGGACGAAAAGCGAATATCTGGCGCTTTAACCGGACCCCAAATCAATGGTGCACATGGGCTCCAGTATCCTGCGGGAACAAATGGCGTATGAACCAATCGTTGGTCACCGGCTACCATGGGACTGCATCTCCTCACGATGCTCCACTGCCTTGTGGGTCAGACGTTCAGGTCAAAGGCTCGGGGTGTGCCCCCCTAAGACAACCACCTGCTTCGGTTTGGGCACCCGGGCAGTATCACAGCCCTCACACAAATCAATTGAGCTTTGTGTGGCGCATATGTATTTGGTGCCTCCCTGTACCTATACTTATGTGTTAAAATAAATAAATAATAAATTAATGCCGTTTAAATCTGATGTTTAGTACTTTAAAAGTTAAATGCTTTATAATCCGAGAGGGATTTTGTGGATATTATTGTAATTTAATAGTTCAATTCATAAGTTTTAGTAAGAATCCGTGACCAATGCAGTTAAACTGGGTCAGTTGTGAGATAATAACTCACTGATGACAATGGTGGACAGTCAGTCAGTCATTCAGTAACAACGTAGAACTTCGTACGTACGTATGTACATCGGGTCAAGTTGTCATATCACATTAGCACAGAGATGAAGTTGTCGATTCAAATCCCATAGTGGTACAGGCAGTAAAATTATAAGCAGTAATAGGAAACCCCAAGGTTTTAAGATGTTATTCAAGGAGTATAATCCAGTGAAATAAATTTGGAGAAAGAGATAGAGAAAACGGACATGAAGAACTCAGAAGATTAGAATTTGGGAGAACAAAAAGAGTGGATGCACCTGCTGCTACCATCTCACGGATCCCAACCAGGTAGTCTATACCTACCAATATGGCTCAATCCTTTTGTCAGTGACTTCATGCATTTGTGCCACATTTTGGTCTGGCCATCCCTAGCTTTCTTCCAACATACTCACACACCATAAAACACCACACACTGGGGCAGTCGGTGGTTAGTCATACGTAACACATACCCCAGCTATCTCAACTAATGAATTCTCACTACTTCATCAATTGATCTGCCACCCTTACCTAGTACCCGTTTCCTAACAACTACATTACTTACTCGGTGGTACCAGGATATACAAGCAATGTTTCGAAGACACCTATGATTGAATACTAGTAACTTATGAATTTCCCCTACTCTTACTGGCCATATTTCACTGCCATAAATTAGGACGGAACAAACTGCTGTGCAGTAAACACGTCCTTTGGTTGATAGACGGATATCTCGCCTACGCCATAAATGACGCAAGTTGGTAAAAGCTAGTCGAGCCCTCTGTATCCGTGCTGAGATTTCATCACCCACCAGACCACAAGAGCTGATAAAACTTCCAAGATAAGTGAAGCGATCGACACGCTCCACTATTCCACTCTATATCATTAGTTCGGCAGTTGATGTAACCTAATCCTGAAGCAACATTTTACATTTCGAGAGAGAGAATCGTATCTCAAACATGCTTTCATTGTTGCTTACAGTGGTCAGAAGATTCTGTATTTTGTCAGTGTCTTTACCAAATAAAACTATGTCAACAAGTGAATCTCCCGAACGGTAACACAACTTCGTCGATTAATTGAATTTAAATATTAACATTATTGAATGCCGGTTAGCTCAATAATCTAAAGATTAAGTATTTGCACACGAGAATGATAGATCTTAAATTCATCATCTCATGAGAACCGGGATCATAAATGCATGCCACTAAATATTCTCATATGAAGATGAAATATCTTTTTAATACTTCCAAATTTTTCATGTGATGAACTATCTAACTTTAATTAATCATCTTATCAATTCAAATATAAAATGAAATATTTTAATTACTAAGTTATCTATGGATTATAGAAACAAAACAAATACTCACTTCACCAGGTTTATGACATATCCAACAATAATCATCTGATTCCATAATCTTATTATTATTATTATTATTAATGATATTGTTATGTAATGGATTAGTTTCATGCGAAGAAATAGATTCATCTAATTGTACATAATCATTCCGTATACTTTCATTATTCGATAATTGAGGTATTTGTTTTATAATAGTATTATTATTATTATTATTACTATTATTATCATTAGTTATTATTGTTAATTCAGAATGATGATCATTCATAGTTGTGAATTCCTTTTTCCTCTTATTATTCTTATTATTCCTTATATTATTCTTTTTATTCTTATTTTTATCTTTTGTAGACCATATTGTATCATTAATAGTATCTATGTCGATATATTCATCGGATTCACTATCTGAAAGACATTGTGTAAATATTTTTGATGAATTATTCCGAACTACAATAGAATCAATAGTAGTATCATGATGTATTGCATTATTATTATCATTATTACTATTATTATTACTATTATTATTATTATTATTACTATTACTATTATTATCATTAGTTATTATTGTTAATTCAGAATGATGATCATTCATAGTTGTGGATTCTTTCTTTCGCTTATTATTCTTATTCCTTATATTGTTCTTCTTATTCTTATCCTTTGTAGAATATGTTGTAGACCATGTTGTAACATCAATAGTATCCAAGTCGATGTATTCATCAGATTCACTATCTGAAAGACATTGTGCAAATATTTTTGATGAATTATTCCTAATTAGAATAGAATCAATATTATTATCATGATGTATTATATTATTATTATTACTATTGTTAGTAGTAGTAGTAGTAGTAGAAGTAGTGGTAGTAGTAGTAGTAGTAGTAGTAGTAGTAGTAGTAGTAGTAGTAGTAGTAGTAGTTGATGATGATAATGATGGTGATGTAATATTTAAATGTGAAGAAGATTCTTTTGGTGACATTTCCCGATCAATAGTACTACTATTAGTAATACTAGTAGTAATATTATCAGATAATGAATTATATGATTGTAAAGGATTTGATAAGTCATTATTAATGATTGTTATTAATTGAGTTGAATTATTAGTATGATTCAGTTGTACTGTATTATTATGATTGGTGTCACCTAAATGATATTAAAGAAAAGAAAAATACATGGTTAAAAATGCAAATACCATTACTTTATTAGATTACAATTATATTAAGGATAATTATTTGATTTAATGGTTAAATTCATGAGTCAATTGAAACTAGGCCAACATGAAAGACCTGGAAGCACTGGACGGTTGTTTCATCCTAGTATGAGACTCCTCATCAGTGGGCATTAACAATCCCGCCTCGCGAAATTCGAACCCAGGACCTATCGATCTCGCACGTGGACGCCTAATCACTAGACCAATGAGCTAGCCAGCATCCAATAGTGTTAATGTCCAACTTCAACCAATCAACGAAATTGAGTGACACATCCACCACTGTCATTAGTGAGTTACCATCTCACATCAGAGCCGCTTGACACGCCACTGGTCACTGCTTCTCACTAGAACTCCAGGAAATACCTCTTGAAGCCGGTCACTAGTGAGCATACAATGATTATTATCAGAAGAGGTTTTTTGGAGATTTTACTGATTTTATTGCTGGACACTTCAGCCCCGCGAATCCACGATCTCGCCTAGCTCGCAAGTGAGAGTGATAGGTCCTAAGTTCGAATCTTGCAAGGCGTGATCGTGGATACGCACTGCTGAGGAGTGCCATACCAGGATGAAACGGCCGCCTAGTGTTCCAGGTTTCCTATGGTGGTCTAGCTCCAATTGACCCATGATTTCAACTATTGAAATTATATAATTAATTAACCATAGTTGATAAATAGTAAAAATATACACGAAAATAATAGTTTACAATTAAGTTAATATAAGAAAATTAATATTATGTAACATAATGAAAGTATATTTATACACATACATAGATATAATGAATCACAGTAGAACAGTCAAAAAAAAAGTTCAAAGGCTTAGAGTGTGAGCCCCCCTAAGAAAACCATTTGCTTCGATTTGGGCATTCAGGCAGTAACCCAACTCTCATATAAATCGAATGATTTATGTGGTGTATATCTATTTGGTGACTCCTTGTACCAATGTTGATGGGTTAAAATGAATAAATAATAATAATTCAAACTTTCCTAATTATTTTGACTATATTTAATATAAGCATTCTAAATGATGATTTACTGAGAGTTGGATTAAACAGCACATATTTATTTATTTAAACAAATAAACAGTGGTACAAGGGGGCATCAAATAGATATATGTCACACAAGTCACTTGATTTGTGTGTGCACTGGAATACTGTCCGGGTCCCCAAACCGAACCAGGTGGTTTTCTTAGGAAACCGCACCCGGAGCCATAGACCTACAGGTCTAAAAGGCAGTGGAGTAATGTTAGGAGATGCAGTCACATGAGAGCCGGTGACCAACGACTGGTTCATAGGTCAATTGTTCTTTCAGGATACCGGAGCCCATGTGCACCACTGATTTAAAATGAGGATTTTCCAACTCCTCTAGATGCATTCTCTGTGTCCACCAACCCGGTTAAAGCGCCGGAAATTCACTTGTCGTCCTCTTATTTTTGTAAACAACACCCCCGCCACGAGAAGGCAATGAGTAGGACTTCCCTGGCAGAAGCTATATACGCGTGGCCATGTGAGAGCATTTCGAGAGGGAGAGCGGACTATCCCCACTCTCGGCCGTACCAGGGCAGTTGGAAACTGCGACGAATACCATTGAACCGAAAGAAAACAAAAATTATTGGTATTTATCATTGAATTAACCATTGTTTTATTGATATTTACAGTTGTTAAGGTAGTAGTCCAATCAGAATAGATTCAACATACGCACAACATGGTTTAAATTCGTGAGAAAAAAAGAATAGATATTGAGTATTAACCCTTTAAACCACTAGACCCATATTAAATTCGAAACAGATTATCATATAATTTACAAACACATGACTGATATTCCAAACAGTGCAATGGTTATTAATAAATTTATTAATTATGAGCTTTATGATCTCCAACCAATGCAATAATGATCGAATTTCTCTAGTTAGTTTATATAGTTCTTGGACAGTGCTCGTAAACTAAGATTGGAACGATACAGAGAAGATTAGCATGGCCCATGCGCAAGGATGACGCGCAAAATCGTGAAGCTTTCCATATTTTTGCCCCCAAACGCTCTGGTACGAGCGAGTGAGGAGTTAACTCTCCCACTTGGAATGCTCTCAAGTGACCACGTGCCTACTGACACTGTCAGGGAAGTCCTACTCACTCCCTTCTTGCGGCATTACTATTGTCTACGAAATTGTGAGGATGAAAAATGAATATCTAGAGCTTTAACCGGGTTGATTGACACGGAGGATCCATCTAGGAAAATTGGAAAAACCTCATGCCAAACTAACGGTGCATATGTGCTCCAGGATCCTGAAGGAACAAATAGCGTATGAACCAATCGTTGGTCACCAACTATCATAGGATTGAATCTCCTCACGTTGCTCCAGTGCCCTATGAATTAGACCTTTAGGTCAAAGGCTCCGAGTGTGACCCTCTAAGAAAACCACCTGATTCGGTTTGGGAACCTAGGCAGTATCCCAGCCTTCACATAAATCATTCGATTTACGTGGCGCATATCTATTTGGTGAATTCTTGTACCGATGTTTATGTGTTTAAATAAATAAATAAACTTAGAGTAAACTTTTTAAAGCCAAACCACAAAACTCCCTAAAATCTAAATCTTAAACTTGTTAGCATTCATTACCAAGGGGTATCCTATTGTCTCGAGAAAATACCATTAGATTATTAAAATGTTGTCATTCAAAGATGAACCTTCAAACATTGATAGATACCTTATAATCTTGGTTACGAATAACATTTCACTCCATTACACTAATCAATAAAACTGAAGCTTTAAAGGATTCAATAACAATGTCAATAACTTAAAAGTCATACAGCAACAAATAGTCTAATGTTTGCATTAAAAAAAACAACACTGTTTACTTACCTGATTGTGTATTTGTTAAGGGAATTGTAATATCAATATGATCAGAAGAAACATTGGATTCAAGATGCACTTCTTGTCGAGCCTAGTAAAATATAAGTATTAATGAAACACTTCAATATATACCTTTTTTTATCTAAATCAAACAAAATTTTTAGGGTAAATGTTTTGGATTATAAATAAAGTTTTAAAGTTTAATATTTTAATTAATACAGGTTGTGAAATCATAGACTAAACACGGACAGGGAGAGTCCACCTAGGGGATTTGAAAATCTCTGATACTAAATCATTGGTACACATTGGCTCCACTATCCTGAAGGAACAAAAGGCGTGTGAACCAATTTTTGGTCATCGGTTATCATGGGGCTGCATCTCCTAACGTTGCTTCACTGCCTTGTGGATTAGACTTCCTTTGAGTCATCACTGTTATAGAAGTCGTAGAAAATCGACATGACCATCATTTCTTCAATAGTCATCAATGTTATGTCAGATTAAAAAGTCCAAAACAAAGTTTTTCTTAAGATTGATATATTATAAGCGAACCGAATGAACATCCTAAACAGTAGCCAGTGAAACAAGAGAATTAATTCATGAGTGGGCTAATGTATATATAAGTGAATGAGTAACGGTAATCCGAAATCTAAGCAGTTGATATGCAAGTAGGTAAGCGGACATTCGTACAAAGACATTCATATTTAGAAGAGCACATTCAAGAAAGTTAATTATACAGAAACATACAAGTTATCGATAAGATTAGAAATGACACGTCTGATAGCCTCATAAGCTAGGCTTAGGTCTAACTAGTTCAAACAAGAAGCAAGTTTATGTAAGTATAATGCTTCTATAGATGACAACTTTCAAAGCAAAGCGGAAGATAAACAGTAAATACATGGAGCATATAGACTGATTTTAATAAATACTCGTAACTTAAAGAAGGGTGAAATGAATAGACGTATTCTAGCTCAATGGTTGGCAGGAAGATATTTAGAATACACGACTGCTCATGAAGGCAAACAAACATTAAACGGGTTTTTTTCATGTATGTCGAAATTTTACCACCCAATCAACTCAGAAGATTGAATAACAATACTGATGTTAGTTTGGTACAAATACTTCTCACCCTACTGTCAACTTGTAGACATACGCAGATCAATCGGGACAAATACTTACAGAGAGCAAAAAGGCATCTTAAACATTCTCATGTTATTGTTATATTGGCATTAAACGAAAGAATTTTGTCTTTTACAATTCACCAAGTACTGGACAAAAATTATCGAGCAGTCTTAAACTAAAGAATAAATGACTCATAAATGTTATCCAAGTAACAAACAGTCAGTGGTTCACTGGATCTGTTGTGAGATAATAACTCACTGATGACAATGGTGGATGTGTCGCTCGATTTCGTGGATTACTGGAAGTTAGACATTAACACTATTGGATACCAGCCAGCTCATTGGTCTAGTGGTTAAGCGTTCGCATGCGAGATCGATAAGTCTTGGGTTCGGACCTCGCAAGGCGGGATCGTGGATGCACGCTGCTGAGGAGTCTCACACTGGGACGAAACAACCGTCCAGTGCTTCCAGGTTTTTAATAGTGGTTTAGCTTCAATTAACTCATGATCTCAACTATTCAAATTAAAAATGATACTGAGATATTTACCATTTTCATTTGTTTCAATCTAGAAATAGCATACGTTATAGAGCGACGTTTCCTCGACGATGGTGGTGATGATACTTCAGCTGAAATTTAGAGTGAAACGAATAATTTTATTTTCAGTTGGATTGTATGAAGGTAGAAAGTTAAAACAATTCCTTAGAAAAGTATGTGAGAAGAAATTATGAAGTAAATAATACACTACTCAATAGACCGTTTAACTCAGCTCTACGTATACTTCGAATTATGGAACTGGATCGTATAACTTAATCGCCAATTGATAACATGGAATTATAATTAGTAATCAAGTTGTAATATACGGTTATTTTTCTTAGGAATTAATAGATGAATGAATGAATGAAAGAATAGAATACTAATGATCAATGAAGGATATTATGTAGCCAACTGATAACTGCTCAATAACTTACCAAGTATTAAAATAAATAAGTCAGTTAAAACATAAGAGAATGGAAGATACGGATTTTGTAGGTTGATGAAAGTAAGAACTAGTTGTGCTAATGAGGTATGGCACATATATGCCTGACTGACTGAAGATCTCGTTATTAGGCTTGATTCTTTCATGGTAAATCATATACGTCAGTATGGAGTTGTGAAGATTAGTATGTTTTTGATTGAGATCATGAACCGTGGATTGGTTGAGGTTAGATATTAACATAGTTGGATGCTTTAACAATGGTCTAGAGGTAAGGCGTTTGCGCGCGAGACCGAAGGACTTGGGTTCGAATCCCGCAGGCGAAACTGGGGATACACACTGATGAAGAGTCCTACAATAGCACGAAACGGTTGTCGAGTGCTTCCAGGTTTTCAATGGAGGTAACATCAATCGCTTCATGATCTCAATCAAAAATGCATTATTATCATTATTATTATTTAGTAAATACCTCAGTAGCACCTTTTTCAGGACTTTCATTTAAAACACTGAAACAAAAATGAAGACTTTATGAGAAAAAATTTAACAACTGCTTTCAATGTGTACACCTATACAACTACACAACAGAGCAGGATGAACCAGCAATCTAAATATTAACATAAGTAAATGGAAGATAACGATGACTGAATATGCTCCCAAACGCCCTGGTACGGCCGATAGTGGAGAGATTCAGCTCTCCCTCTTTAAATGCTCTCAAATAGCCACGTGCACACTGCCACTGTCAGGGAAGTCATACTCATTACCTCCTTGCAGCATTACTGTTGTTTACGAAATTGAGAGATTGAAAAGTGAATATCTGTAGCTTCAACCCGGTGGTCGACACGGAGGGTCCATTTTAGGGAGTTAGAAAACCCTGATTCCGAATCAGTGGTGCACATGGGTTCCAGGATCCTAAGGAAACAAATGGCGTATGAACCTATTGTTTTTCATCGGCTACCATTAGACTGTATCTCCTTACGTTGCTCCATTGTCTTGTGGATCAGACATTTAGGACAAAGGCTCGGGGTGTGACCCCCTAAGAAAACCACCTGCTTCGATTTGGACAAGCGGACAGTATCCTATTCCACACACAAATCAAGTGACTTGTGTGGTGTATATCTATTTGGTGCCTCCTTATACCAATGTTTATGTGTTTAAATAAATAAATAAATAAAATTATTGAATATTCATTCACCTAATATATTCCATGAAAATTGCTCACTATCTATTTTAAACATCCATAAAACCGAAGAATATGATCTGATGTGCAGTAAACTAATACACTAAATGTGATTCCAAAAACAAAATAATAATAATAATATCACTGGTTGAAATCATGAGTCAATTTAAGCTAGACCACCATGGAAAACCTGGAAGCACTGGACTGATAGGTCCTGGGTTCGAATCTCGCTGGTAGGGGGATCGTGGATGAGTACTTCGGAGGAGTCCCATACTAGGACAAAACGGCCGTCTGTTGGCTAGTGAATCAAAATAACGGTGAAACTACAAGTTATAGACGACCTTTGAGTAATGCTAGAGTGACCTTGAAAGTATCCATATGATAACTAAGATTAAATGAAGATTATAAACTAATGTGTAAGGAATTAGAATTATGATTTACAATTGATGGTTGTTTAAGGTTAAGAATTAGATTTAAAGTTTTGATCATAAAATGACATCAGTTATAATGTTAAAACACAAAAATCCGACAACTGTTATCTTATATCTGATTGATTCATCCACCTTAATAATTACTCTTGGTGACATGGTTCAGAATCGATCACAATGGCGTCGGTGTATACACTCTCTGTTTTCCATAAAACTAAGAGATTAAAATCATTTCATATCTTTCTTTCTACAAACTAATTCTTTCTTTTCTGTATTATATCCTTATATGAAATCTTTTTTTTATATACTATCACCATTGAGTTAACTGCTTCTATTAATCCAGTTTTGGTCTTGCTGTGCTAATGAGGTATGGCAACTTGGACCGAGTTATATACGTGTCTGGTCTTACACGTTGCAGCTGACTGACTGACCTTAATAATTAACAAACAAACATGATATCTTCCCCCATGTTTCAATCTGTGAACTATGTTTTTATTATTATGATTATTATTATTTATTTTCCCTTGAAACAGATGAAAGACTATAGTTCAATAAACCTGAGGATCAGATACATAAGCTACCACAATAGACCAACTAGTCTATAACATTCTAGTAAACATTATTGATAAGTTTATTTTGAACATAAAGAGTAAACAGAATGAAAACTTGCGGATAATAAATATTAATCTAGTACTTACGTATTGATGGAAGGGATGACATATAGGAGACATTTAACTTGTCTGTCATAGTTGATTCAGTATTCAGTTTATTTTGATTATCCATTAGATGTTGAAATGAAAGATCCGTTAACAATCATTCTATGATTTAAAAAAGTAAATAGTGATAAGGAAAGATGTTTTTTTTCAATTTGTAGTTATGCAACATGTATATTAATTAGGATAGATAACCATCTTGAAATAACTAGCATTAGTTTAGGGATATGAATGTAAATAAGTGGGTCATTGGGTTATTTATTTATTTAAAAACATAAACATTGGTACAACGAGGCACCAAATTGATATGCGTCACACAAGTTACTTGATTTATATATGGGCTATGATACTGCCTCTATGCTCAAACCGAAGCAGGTGGTTTTCCTAGGGGGTCACACCCAGAGCCTTTGACCTAAATATCTGATCCACAAGATAGTGGAGCAACGTGAGGAGATAAAGTCCCATGATAAGCGGTAACCAATAATTGGTTCATACGCCATTTGTCCCTTTAGGATTCTGGAGCCCGTGTGAACCACTGGTTCGGAATCAGGGTTTTCTAACTCCCTTAGATGGATCCTCCGTGTTCACCAACCTGGTTAAATCGCCCGACATTCGTTTTTTGTCCTCTCAATTTCGTAAACAGTAATACCTTGAGAATGCAGTGAGTATGACTTTCCTGTTGGTAGCTGTATACACGGCCATGTGAGAGTATTTCGAGAGGGAAAGTTAACTCTCCCCACCCTCGAACGTACCAGGGCATTTGAAGACCCAAGACTGAGTGTGAAATCATCAGGACCCCATCCTGTTAACAAAGTAATTCTAATTACCATTCATATAACAAGTGTTTCTCATAATCTAGCATAATAAAATCAAACACTGCCACCTGATATCTGCCGTCTGAACTGATTAGACGTGTACTTGAGTCAGTATTACTACTTCAATTATTCTGATATGTGTTTTGATAGTTTTACCTTGGTGTACTAACATATTGTGTGAACTTCAATTAATGTACTAGGTCCTATGTTGCTTAGTTGAAATTATGAGATCAATGATGTTGAAGTGTGGAAATGAAAACTTTCTATAGTATGCAATTCGGATAACATTCGGTTACAATTTTTCACTGACGTAGGAATTAAAATCATAAGGAACTATTAGGAGACAAACATTATGTCAACTGTAACAAAAATGTTAGTCTTTATATTAGACTAAAATTATAAAGCCTAAGATAATGAAAGCATGGATTTTGTAGGGGGATAAAATAAATAATTATAAGAACCAGATACCCAGGCGCCATAATACTGACTCATCATATTATAAAAACAAGCAAGTGGCTATCAGGACTCAGTAGCTGAGTGGGTAACACGATGACATTTGAAGCGAATGGTACTGGGTTCGAGTCCCAGAGTGAACATCAACTCAGATGCAGGTACATCCAGCTGACGAGTACCAAATAGAACAAAACGCGCGTGCTGGATCCTACTGCTAGCCACTATCCATCATCGCTTACAAAAAGCTTGTGAATTAAAGCAATATCGAGCCATAAGCACAGTATGCACATATGCCAGTAACAGACTGATCGATTGCAGTGTTAAACCTCAATGGGAAGATACAAGCCAAACAATACCAAGTGAGAGTTGTGAATTTCCCAGACGAACAAATCTCAAGGCTATCCAAAACTTAATTAATAAGATAGTCCATCTTCTAGGATCAGGTAGTAGATTTGGACGCTATTTTGTCTATTTTAGTCTGCGTACCCTAAGAGTATCAATGGACCACGCCAAAACATGCAATACAGAGCTGAGAACAGAAAAGCTGCGCCTGCATTAAATTTGAAATGTACTAAAAGACAGAGCAGTCACTAAATATGTACAGGAACTGAGATAGACAATCATTTCAAAGTACCCAGTATACTTAAACAAAGCAGACTCGACTAGTGAAGTTTTATTTAGAGACCTAGTTAACAACCTGTGGGTCACTAGTTTACGTTTTGCTTGTCCAGTCAAGTTTAAGGCAGTTAAGTGTCAGTAACAACATTCATACAATAGATGGTTCTTATAGTGGGGCACGAATATATAGTTACCGTACGGCACTACTTAGTCATTTATGGTTATTAAATTACCACCATGCAAATGCTTAGATATCGTTGAAAATGATATGAGTTTAATCTTACTGGAAACGCTTATTCGGCAGTGTCATTGAAGCCTATAAGAGGAGAAATTATACTTAGCATGAGCCTTCGTTGCCCCCAAATGCCCTGGTACGGCCGAGAGTGGCGAGAGTCCGCTCTCCCTCTCGAAATGCTCTCACATGGCCACGCGAATATAGCCTCTACCAGGGAAGTCCTACTCATTGCCTTCTCGTGGCGGGTGTGTTGTTTACGAAAATGAGAGGACGAAAAGTGAATGTCCGATGCTTTAACCGGATCCCAAACCAATGGTGCACATCGGCTGGTTCCAGTATCCTGAAGGAACAAATGGCGTATGAACCAATCGTTGGTCACCGGCTAACATGGGACTGCATCTCCTTAAGATGCTCAAGTGCCTTGGGGATCAGACATTCAGGTCTAAGGCTCTGGGTGTGGTCCCTTAAGAAAACCACCTGCTTCGGTCTGGGCACCCGGGCAGTATCACAACCCTCACACATGTCAAATGAAATCTGTGTGGCGCATATCAATTTGGTGCCTCCTTGTACCAATATCTATGTGTTAAAATAAAGTAAAATAAATGAGCCTTCGTTAAGTTATGTACCGAACCAACATTTCTTACGTCCGTTGTGATTTCTCAAGAAAGGCACTGATGGTTGGATAGATTCATACAGTGACTAAATACTTAAGTACCAATGCATTTAACGGACAAGAAACGGTGTTTTCAAACTGGTATGATCGCCGACCGTTGCTGCTACCTTGACGTGGTAGTCAGGCTTGCCTATCGCAATGAACCGATCGAGCTGTACTGACTAAAACACTTGTTCCTCAATGTCCTACCATACCTGACAGGTTGGTCGAAGGACGGTAAGACTAAAAGCAGTAAACCCAAGATCTGAGGGCGCAGCCGTACTAGTGACTGTACAGAGGTGTGACGGCGGTAAGGTGTTTCCTTCATACAACCAGCATAACAGCGATGCTGCCTTCCGACAAGGAGTGGTGGGGTTGGAAAGGGTTGACGTCATGAATTTCCGTCACCGGCGGTAAGGTCTCAACAAGTACGAGGCTGACGAAAGTTATCATTGGAGAGGCTAGGTAGAAGACTGCTGCTCGTTCTGGAGTATATGTTTGGACTCTTATCATACACTAATACGAGCACGCATTTGCTTGCGCCTCGCTGGACGCAGAAAAAACACATTAAGAAGACCCATTAGAGTTGAACTCGGTGATGCGAAAGTCAAAAGTAGATTCCAGGAACAACTGAAGTCACATTTAGGCAATTTAGAGAACGAGGCTGGTCCAGATGCTGCTTGTTAAGATATACGAACAGCTGTGGAAACGACAGCGATATCAGTTAACGATTTAAACCACAGGGTTACAAAAAACCAATGGATTTTTACTAAGTCTATTGCACTGATGGATTCTCATAAACTCATCCCATCAGGCTCTGAACACAATGAAGAACGAAAACCAATCAGATCTAGGTTAACCGAAAGTCTAAGGAAAAACCATGAGCAGTAGTAGGCAACAAAAGCAAAACAGATGGAAAAGTTAGTGGCTGTAGGTAACACCAGACAGCTTTTCAGATTAATAAAAGAAACGGGAATTAAGAAGTCAAATTTAAATGAGACGATCACGGAAAAAGACGACTCTTATATGCTCTCAGTCCAGACGTTTAGAACAATGGGCGGAACACTGGAACAGTTTAGCTGGCCTTCAGCTATTCTACAACTACCGATCATTCCCAGACAGCCTGAATGGAGCATCGAAGTAGGTCCCCCAACTCTAGCGAAGTTTAAAAGGCCATAGTTAATCTGAAACAAGGAAGAGCAGCTGGTCCGAATGGACTAACTCCAGAGGTCCCTAAGGATGGTGGTTCAATTTTAGCGATAAAGTTGACTGATATTTTAGCTAAAATCTGGGAGTTGGACGAAATCCCATCTGACTGGTCACAATCACTGATTGTCTCAATATATAAGAGGGGGTTAAAATCATCTTGTGATAACCATAGATGGATTAGTTTGAGTAGTACAGCATCAAAAATACTAGCTTCAATAATTTTCGGACGCCTAACTAAGACTCGTGAACTGCAAACACGTGAAAATCAGGCTGGCTTCACACCTGGTCGTGGCTGCATCCACCACATATTCACCATTCGTCAGGTTCTAGAACACAGGCATACTTATCGGCGTCCGACAATGGTGGTCTTCCTTGACTTAAAAGCAGCGTTTGACTCTTTTGACCGAGAGGTTCTGTGACAGTGTCTGTCATTTAAAGGCGTACCTCAGAAGTACATAAACCTTGTGAAGGCTCTTTACTCGAACACTACTAGTCGAGTCAGAGCTTATGGCGAACTGTTTTCTGATTTTGAAACCTGAAGTGGTGTCCATCAAGGCTGTTCACTATCTCCATTTTTGTTCAATTTCATCATAGACATACTGATGGAAACAACGTTGTCGTCGACTAAAATTTCGAGCATTTATCTCCCACCAGGACGTCCACCTATCGACTTAGAATACGAAGATAATATAGTCCCGTTTGGTGAAGACGCTGATAAAACCCAGTCTTTTGATATGACTAAGTAACAACGCCAGAATGTTCGGGATTCGCTTCTCTCCCTCTAAATGCAAGTTGTTGCTTCAGTACTGACTGCGTCAACACCTGAACTAAGGACAGGGAGTGAGGCAGTCGAACGCGTTGACAACTTCACTTATCATGGTAGTCTGATCAGCCGCAATGCGTGGTATCTGACGAAATCTCAGCATGGATTCAGAAAACTCGTTTGGCTTTTGCTAACTTACGTCACCTATGGTGAAGGCGAGATATCCGTCTATCAATTACGGAATGAGTATACTGCGCGGTAGTTCATTCTATTCTATTTTACTGTTACGAAATGTGGCCATTAAGAATAGAAGATACTCGTAAGTTATTAGCATTTGATCACAGATGTCTTAGAAGTACAGCCAGCATCTGCTGACATCACCGGGTAAGTAATAGTGAGGTCAGACGCATGATATTAGGAAATGATCGTAAAACAGTTGATGAGGTTGTGATTCTTCATCGACTGAGATGATTGAGCTATGTATTTCGCATGCCCACTCAAAACACTTTCACATAACCACGCGTATACAGCCACTGCAAAGCAAGTCCTACTCACTGCATTTACGAGATAGAGGTGCTTTTTACAAAATTCAGAGGACGTAAAACGAATGTCCACCTCGAGGATTCGGAAAACCCTGATTCTAAACCAATGGTGGACACGGGCTCCAGGATACTGAGGAAACAAATAGCACATGAACATAATGTTAGTTACCGGCTACCATTGAACTGAATCTCCTAACGTT